TTAAAACATTTCAGGGAAACAGTGGTGGCGACGTGCGGATAAAGTCAGAAACTTATTGGTTGCCTCATGGCAAAATTATGTAAAACAGTGCTCATCTCCAGTGACAAAAGTGAGCTGTGAAGACAGCCTGCCAAACACCTGAGTGTGTTTTCTTTCTATACAAAAATGCACTGAATAAGTATATTATACACTTGCAGAGGTTCTGAGGTTTATCACAGTTTATTGAGCTGTGAAGACAGCCTGCCAAACACCTGAGTGTGTTTTCTTTCTATACAAAAATGCACTGAATAAGTATATTATACACTTGCAGAGGTTCTGAGGTTTATCACAGTTTATTAAGCTTTCGATTTGGGTTTTGCCATGTCTCTTTGCAGAAAAATGCCTTGATGCACGTGGAAAGCAGGCTTGCAGAGGCTACACCACACTTTGCGCAGATAACCGCTACCAGCAATTTCTGGAAACTAACTGCGCGGCAACCTGCGGATTCTGTGGTAAGAACATTAGGCATTGCCATGACACGAGGTGGCGTACGTTTTTCGCTTGCGTGATGCTGCTATGCAGATGTTAGATGAGTTCCCAGACCAAAAAAGAAAATTCCACTGTTTCAAGAAACGTTTCGGTCCAGTGATTGCCACTGCCACATAGCAAAAATAGGAGGAATCTCTTCCGTTTACGGAAAATTTCCAAAGCAGGCAGATATTAATTTTTGGAGCTCATTTCAATAATTTTAGGGCACCGTTTTAAATAATAGTAAATACTTGAGGTTTGCAAATTGCTTCTCTGGCAGATCTTCCCACATGCATCACAATTCGAAAAAAACTATCCACTTTCTTTTTGGGGGGGTTGTATTAATAAGCCTACTTTGATTATGCTACCAGATGTACATACACCAAATCTAAAAACGGAAGGGGCAACTGGACATTTCGTAAAACGTTTCACAGAAAAGTAAAAAATATGAAAAACGAACACCTGAAGAGATGAAACAATTTTTTTAAAGCAAGGTCATCTTCGGTTGTGTCAACAGAACCATCAAGGCATACGGGGACAAACAGATGAGATCTATCAGTGATAAGTTCATTCATATAGTATAAATTCCTGATATCTGGTTCTAGCTTGTTATTAATTTGAAACATAAATGGAAAATGGGCCGGCCATTATCAGCTACTAAACAAAGCCCTGAAACTTGGCCCAAGGTAACTGACTATCACTTGAAATCCCGAAAGAGTCTCATTTATTTTGTACAAAATTAATGGTTTGTAATAAGCCATTACCATCCGCATTGGGCTAATCGCATCACCTCGTCGGAAAGCTTGCTCTATCGGAAAATGTGAAACATCCATCCCTCACATTAGTGTAACTGTTTTAACCTTGCTGTTTTTGCCTAATGTTCGAAATATGTTGAACTTTAGTCTTTTGAAGAACAAAGGTTACTCTATTAACTCTGTCTATCTGTGCGTGTGCTCTGGCCGCTCCAATATCTGTTTCTTTTTACCACATTAGCTGTACCACTAAGAAAAGCTAAATCAGAAGATAAAAAGAGATTTTAATATGCCAGTGTCTTTCATTCCATATTTGGTATTTCTTAGTGTTTCTCTGTTCCCTTTAAGGAAAAATACAAAATTCACGCCTCACATCAATAAGCTTCTTTCTCCTACACGTGTACAAATTCATTGTCTAGCTTTTTAGAGGAGCAATCATTATCTCCTCTACATGGAAAATCTTTATCCAGTAGTAAGCAGATACAATTTTGACATAATTAAACCGACATTTCTCTCTGATGCAGATTGATCTGTCTTAGTGTCATTTAATGTCAGTTCAGATTTATCCCTAGGTGTACCAGATTTATTTCAGTCACGATGGTAAAAAAGATATACTATTTTTAATGTCTCCTCACTCAGTCATTAAAATTCATAACAATGAGTTACAATAGTCCATTCAATGAAAGCTATACAAACAATATTCGTAGATAGAACCACATAGATTTTTAAAGAGAGGGCTTGCAGTACTAAGATCTCTTTTGGGAGAGGTATACTTCTGATAAGAACTGCTGAGTGTACTTGGGTCGTTTTAGGAGCGTTTTATCCCAAGGGTAATACCAAATACAAATATCAAATCGTCTCTTGAACAGGAATATAGTCAATTCTACTGTAATAACAAAAGCTCTTCCCGACATAAGCTCCATACTATACATGGTTATTTTTGTGTGCTGACATTTCCCGGATATGATTTATTTATCTCTTATAGCCATGGCGGTGCCATGGGCAGATTAAGAGTGCAATGCTCAGCCATCCACTACATATTTTTAAAAACTGCAAAAATTCTGGGCAGGGAAATGGAGCGCCAAAACTCATCTGCAGCATTCCTCACAAGGTGGTATGCTTTTATCGAGCCCGGCGTAGAAGAAAGTTATATTCAGTAACGCCGACCCTTGCTCTTTGCCTGACTGTCTTCGTCGGCATACGGCGGGATTTTGTCATTTACCGCTTCAAATTCAACGGCGAACGGAATGTAAGAAGAACCAATTTTACACTTGCGTGAACAAATTTTCCTTTCGTCAGGGCTGACTGTCTCAGTGTAATTGGACCCCCCTTAGGGGCTTTCAAGTAAAGCTGGTAAAATGCAGGCATATCGGAATGCTTCCGGGTATTCGCACTGCGGGGTATCGACGCATTCAACAGTACCCTTGAACTGTATTTGAGATGTATCAATGTAACAAGTCTGGCGATGCGAATCAGTTCATTGGCATTCACTACCAGAATACTCCAGAGGAGACCCTACACGTTGTTTACTAGGGCTAACAGCGTTTTGTCATAGAAGTAGATGTCGTCTACAGATTATCCGGAAGATGTAACTGCAGGAGGGTTAGGAAATTTTATTTTATTTTGAATAATTCAATGCAGTGAAATAATTAATTACTTAGGCACATTATGTGCGTTAGGGTTAGGTTTCTTTTTCTTGTTTTTGTTTGTTTGTTGGCTGGGGTGTTTGTTTGTTTGTTTGTCTCTACATTTTATGATGGGCTTACAAAGAAATTAAAAAAGATGCATTATAGTTAATTACTTTCTTTAACTAGACAAATGGGGGAAACAATACAACAAATTCCATTTGCATCCAAGGATTAGTGTGGCAGCATCTCTTGCCGTATATTCTATTGTCGATCTGCTACAGCTGCAACAATTTCGTAGCAAACGAGTTTTTCACTTATTTTTGATTTCATTGCTTTGCTCTGTGGCCATCTGTTGTGATGTACGTTTTGTTTTCCAGATAGGCCTGTGTTGTCTGCAACGGGGCGGTCTGAGCATTACGTACACAAATTATGTAATTCTGGAAGGTGATCTAAGGTAGCACAAAGCAAGTAATACGCAAAGAAAACGAGCAGTGTTGATTCTCTTTTCATAATTTATTAAATTAGTTTGTTTTTTTACATTCTGTATATACCACGAGCCGCTATTATCCAACAAAACACGTGACATAACGCACTCCCCTCACTCGAATTGCACCAGTATACTCAGCAAAACCTGCCTTTTTTGTAAGTCAACGAGAGCACAGAGTGCGCATGTCTGCAGGGAAAGAAAATAGAGGCATTGCGCATTGTGACCCTAGTCAATGAAGGGTCCCACCGAAGAATTGTTTTAACCTTTGGAGAAACTTTTAACTAAGGACAATGCTGCATGTCCCCCCAATTGTCCCAAGGTGCCCGTGAAGAAACAAAACGGCCGATCACCTATTCTTTCATCATTTCATTTCACAGGTTATTTCATGACTCATGAAAACAAACGGGCAGTTACTGGCCTTGATGAGATCACATCTTTTCCTCTTTCCATCCCAAAAGAGGGGCAATCAAGTAAAAGTTGACAGCAGGTTACCCACCCTCTCTAATTCCCATTTCATATTCGATTTGCCTCCATGGCATCCCTCTCTAGTACCCGGCCGGATTGCGCCACACGTTGTGTGCCACTAACCTACCCATTATCCATCCGGTCACGTCCCGTCCTCGTTAGTGAGCACCGTGCACAGACACGAATGCATCATGATGTTGTAAACAATTTTGCAAGGATAGCTATGGCTTCGACGTGTTTCCCTGTAACCTTTTTTCTTGATAATTGCCATAAAATTCTGTACGGGGGTTTTGCTCGAAAGGTCAACATCAGATAAGTTCATCCCCCCTCCATGACTGTGTCATGATTGACACGCTAACGCAGTAATATATGAAGCACATGTGCTTCATAAGGTTGGTCAATTTTGGGTTGGTATTTTGCCCAATGTTGGTAAAAATATCAACTTAGCAACCTTTGGGCAGATTCTTCCCAATATCTGGTCAATATTTGACCAACAGTGATGTAGCTTTAACCAAGGTTGGGCAAATTAGAAATGCCCAACACTGTTTTGCCCAACTTTTTTTACAGTGCATTGCTTTAATAAATTGAATAAAACGGCAAGGCTCGTTTTTATTTGGCGCAAAAGCGAAAGTGTGACGCCGGATCAAATATTCAGGCTGCACATTAAATTTACAAAGGTTGAATATTCAACTCGAGCGTATTGCCATGTTCCATGACATCAAATTTGCTTCGCTTTGGGGTTTGGCCGAAGTACCAACAGGCCTTTAAACAAAAACGGAACGCTATATTGAACGCTTACATTTTATAAGATCGTGTTTCAGAGTTCTGAAATGGCAACCGTCAGTGCTACGAAGGAGTCAAAAGAAGCAGGTTTTTTCTTTTCATATTTATGGAAAAATAATGTCTTACTTCACATAAACGATAAAATGGCTGGAGGACCAAAGTCAATGTTATCCCGTCAGAATGTTGAAAGAAGTTTTTAAAAAGTTGAATCCTCTCTAACACATGATTCATCTGGGGGAATAGAATTTAAATTGGCATTATTTTATCATAGCAACACGTTTCTACCAGTTCAAATGAAATTTGGCTGGGATTCTCAAATTTTGAAAAGTTATTTGAAATAACTTTATCCATTTCAAGTCTTTTTATTTTCGCTTTCAGAGGTATTTGGACCAGGATCAGAGGGTTTTGGTAAGTAGGCTTGTGAAACATTACCAAGTGTGTAATTAACTAAAGAAAACAAATACTGCTGGTAAAATTTCTTCACCGACCTGCAGTGTTCAAACGTTTGGCAAGAAAACCAAGTACCATTTTATGTTTATAGATTAAAGTTTTCAATGCCAAGGGTATTGAAAAAGCATTTAGACATTAACTTGTATTAGATTACATAATATATTTTAAAACTGATATCTGGTTTGACAGCTTAACAAGAAAGGTAAGGCTTTTTCCTCTCTTCATAATTCAGGTCTATTAGAAATCTATTCTATTTTTTTGGTGTTGCAGTTTGTGATTTGCAGTGTGGCGAGCCTGGTGGGACCCTTATTAGTGAGGACTGCGTGTGTGAGTGCGCCCGAGGCTGGCGAGGACCGTTGTGCAAAGGTAAGAATGTCGTTAATTCCGACAAAACGCATGCTTTCCGCTCGCGTGGCGCACATATTGGCGTATTGTTTCCAGAGGAAAGATATTAAGTTGAGGATAAAGTCCATACCATTGAGTCACCAGGTGAGAGACTAATCAGAGGATCGCGTTGTATAAATCGTTCGTTAAATATCAAGTAGGCCTATGATGATGTTTAATTTTAGATTACCACCTCAGCAGATTTATTCTTGAACATGTTTTCCCCATAAAGTACATTTTCAGTCTCTCACAAGATCCACGTTCTGCCTACGCAAACAGTGCATTATATGAATTGTGCAGACCGTAATTGGCTACATGCACGTCTTTGTAGCAATATCATACCAATCGGTCATGGGTCCCCACATGATGACCATCAGATGTATCACCGAGGACGAATTTTGCTGAACAAGTCGTAAAATATAGCTCACCTAAACCTTGAACAGACGCTGTATTAAGTATGTTGTATTTATCATTAGGCCTACTGTATAATTATTAGATGTCCCCTTCTCAGTAGGATTCATAAAATAGGTCCCTGCCCGCCATTTCCTTTTTATCTGGGTGATGTAAGCCAAAGACCTCAGCTGATTTTATTTCACTGTTTTAAAGGAACGCCAATTCAAATTGAGTAAAGGAAAGCCATGTTGAGCTGTTCAAAATCGACGGTCCTTAATGTCTTGTTTTTTTTCATGGCTTTGCACCAACATTACTCATAATGTCATGCGTAACATTACATAGCAATTAGTACACTTAAGAACGTTCAGGCAAAGCTTCGAAATTCGGCAAAACGATAAATTCTTCAAACCTAGCTGATGTTGTCTGTAAAGGCCATCAATTGCGCATTGCGTTGTGTACTCCCGAGCCATCGTCACTACCTTTGTCAACATCTATTACCATGGTAACCGTGCAGTGCTTTTCCCTTTTTTCTCTCTTAAATGTCATCCAGAGAAGTGCGAAGACCAGAGCGAGAAATGTAGCCTGTGGGGAAAGTATCAATGTAATTCTCCGTCTGTGGTTAACCTATGCCCGGCCATGTGTGGAAAATGCGGTAAGGCGGCGTGAAATCCAGTCTCTCACAAAGAGCAGCCTAAAATGTCTCATTTCCATGTGGATAGGAGATTCAGTCGCCTCATCTTTAGAAAAATGTTCTTTCTCGTTTAAACACTGCCTTAACAATCTTACTTCATATATACACGTATCCAGACTTAATCTTTAGAAGGCCCACATCGCAGAAACGTTTTACAAAAATCTTTGAAAATGCACCTTTGTGTTTCACAGAACCTTGTTTTCAATTTTTGTTTTACTACATGTTGGGGCCTTTCTGGTTTTGCTGGATTTCTACTTCGAAATTGGTAACTGATTGTTGTGTATAGAAATAAGTATGTAGAAATATAGACCAGAAAACAGTCTGTCCTCAGAAATGTTTGAAGAGCAAATTTGGGGCTTAAAATTTGGACATGAAAACATACAAACTGAACAGTGTCTTCCTAGATTTACATCACACTAACAAAATTCTCAACTGTCTTGGAAAGCTTTGTCAGTTTTTAATGTGAAAAATGCACTTGACAGTTCACTTAACTCCAAAAAATTTCAAGCATTTGTTTACATTAAAGAAGCGTAGGTAAATGTATAAAAATGTGATTCTAAGAAAAATCATCCCATTGTTTCTTTATAGGTTCCCTCAATAAATGTTTTGATTAAAAACCTGTATATGCACCTTTAGGACTTAGTTGACCTTATTCTCAACTTAGGTTTCATTATTTCAAAGGGTATTCAAATAACTTTATGGTTGTTATGCTAATGAGTATTTCCATTTTCATGAGCAAACCTGTGATGTCATCTCAGGAAGAGGCCTCAATGCTACTCTGGTTTGTAAAAAAAGGGCCACCGGTTTTTTTTTTTTTTGTAGATCTTCCCGGACTAAGTTTTCTCTGCTTTGCTGATTCATTGTTGTTTATGTGCATAGGAAAAAAAACATCAATTCCTCTATTTACTAATTTTCGATTAGTATATTCTGGGTTCACAATTTGAGCAGAAATACTTATGCAATGAACCACGTCGTCCCTAGATGACTTCACAGCAAGAGCGCCCTCACTTGTCCCGGAAAACATGGATAAGTTGGAATGTTTAAAAGTGTGCACTTTTCAATGCATTTATTTAACCAAGTGCGTTAGAGTTTTCATACATTGAAGAAGAGTACAAAGATGCAGAAAAATTGTTTCGAAGAAAAATGTCATTGCAGCTACACTCTAAGGGCTTGCGCACAGGTAGCGACTGGCTTGCAGGCGAATAAGAAATATATTTGCAGTTCATGGCGTTGTAGGCAAAATCCAAACTACTTAGGAATTTTGAGCCACACATAGAGAGACCTATTTGTGTGTGCCAAACAAAATCTTATGGCGGATGCTGAGGATGCTCTCTGATGACGGGCGTGCACATGGAACATAACAAAAAGTGATTGTGCCTACGACCATAGGTCGTAAAAATAGCTTTGTTGCAATACACAAGCAAACTTGCGACTTAAACGACCATTTTCTTTCTAAAAATCTGTTTATCATTCTTACTTTCTTCCTATCTATACAGCTATTTTTGGCCCAGGCTCTCCAGGATTTGGTAAGTTACAAGCACGCATTGTAGCTAATAGGCAAATAACAAGAACATCAGCAAAACCCGGTCATATTGGGTGGCATTCCCGGAAGACCCCAACGTTGATATGTGTAATCTTTCTTATTGGCCGAATTTCTTTCAAGGGAATATGCCAAGCGAATATCCGACTGAAGGCGAAATATACAGCGGCAGAAAAACAAAAGCTTATTTGTTTGGCAATGTGCGGGTCTATTCAGCTTTTCCTACGAGCAAGATCATGCACATTACCATTACTGTTCAGATATTGGGTTGTTTATTCTTAACTCTTCACAGAAATCCAGACTCCCAGAGCACACCCTACTAAATGAAATAAAACAAAACAAAACAAAAGAATAATATTGACAGCAATCAACATGCAAGCTGTCAGCAGGAAATGTTGTCAATGATGACATTTAGGCGGAAGCATTCTTCTTTCAACAGGAATTCCGGCATTCCTCTCAAAAGGAGCGCTTTTTCAGAAAATGCCCTAATCGTATTGTCATTTCTAATGAAATAATACAATGGGTTATTTTATCATGGATGGCGCATCTTGCGGGAATTGCGTCAAGGTGACGTCAAAATGTACACAACAGGACTATTCAACCAAGTGAAGAGATAGTGATAAAACGTTTTACTGGTCAGAAGCATGAATTTGTGAAGTGCATCGTCAATGCATCAGTCATAAGATTCTAATTTTCTTTTTCAATAGGGCTTGAATTTTAGATGGCATACGCAATCAAGCTCAATAAAAAGGATTTGATTGTTAATGCATATATATGTTGCTACTCAGGACAACAGTCGATGATGTTCATGATATGAATGGAATGGAAGGAATGGTGCTAATGATTTGGCACGTAGGGATTGCGTAGACAGTCGCCACAGTAATTTCGGAACTGATGGTAATGATGGCCCATGTTCATTACCAAGACTGGTAGTTAACAACAGCATAGCAATAGGCTATGCCTGATTTTGAGTGCTCTGATGGCAACTGAGACGTCCTCTTCATTGCTGAATTTTCAGGAAACTAGTCATAAACAATATTTTTTTCCGGAGAAATCTAAACTTCATAAGTGCAGTTAAGTTTTCAGTGTGATCAAAGATAATGAAAAATCTGGTTTAAAATAACCCAAAATTATTTAAATTTTTCACTTGAAAAACGTAATGCCAAATGTAATCAATTTCTATTTGAAAATCGGTTTTCCTGTTTATAAAAAGTACATATATATAAAGTAGTAGAAGAGGGTCTAAACCAACCGCACACAGAAATAGGGAATCCGCTGGATAGAAAAGTCGGTGCAATGAGTTTGAATTTGAATCTTTCTTTTTTTTAATCCACATATTTTGTGACAGAACTTGAAAATTCGTCACGGATCTAATTGTTATTATTTTATGTCTAAATAAAACATTATTCTTCCGTTCAGGAGTTATTGCTACGTCCAACTTTTGATAAAAATGAGGCACCACACTCCTTTTATGGGAGACGTTTTAGTAGCATTCTCGCAGAGGCGAGTCACTGGTCAAACGCAGTTCTTGTGTGTGTTTACATGTGAACATATGACATGTGCAAGTTTATGTACATGAACTCAGCCGGACGCTTCGACTTTGACGTTTAGGTACCATACTGGATAGTATAGCAGCAGACGTGATGAACAAGAGATGCCTCTAAATTTAAAATTCTTTTGTTATGAAATGGCATCAATGCTGCAAAACAAATCGGTACAATGCAACAGAAAATCATTCAGGTATTCGATTATACAACTTTTGTATTTAGAATCGGTTTCAAAAATGGCTTTAACTTTTCTTGAACTGTTAGAACTGTTCATTTTTGAGGCGATTTGAACTGACCTCACTGTTAAACATCTTATCCGGCGGCTTCAAAAGAAATGCACGAAATCAATGCCCTAAGGTTGGATCTTTGATTTGGCGTTAAGTTTTATCTCAACAAACTGATTTTCTGTTAAAAATTAATTGATGAAATAAGCGCAAAATTTTGCAATTTCGATTTTTTTGGGCAGAAAACTGTTTGTAAAAATCATTTGTAATTCTGTTCTAAGATTCACATTCTCTTAAAAATCTTAGGAATGGAGGAAAGCTTATGTTATTTGTGGTGTCGTAATTTAGATTCTCTCAAAATTCATTTGTGTTACTTCATTTTGATATTTTATGAGGTCAGTCTTTGAAAAAATCCGTGTTACTCAAGTCGTCTGCTCGCACGAGAAACCGTTGTCTGCTTGAAAGTGAAGTGCGCGTACGCTCTTGTAAAGATGAAAGGGCCATATTGACAAGAATGTAATATAAAATCAGTTGCTGAAACATGTAATTGCCGAGCTTTTAGTAACTGAGTACCTTCTTTAGGGCGAGCAGATTCAGCTTACAAGCTCGGCAATTACATGTTTCAGAGCACTAATTTTATATTACATTCTTGTCAATATTCTGATCACGGAGCTCGCAGCCCTTCCATATTTCTCTGGCCTGTTTGAGCCAGTTTGTTTCACACGGATCTAAATCGCAATAAGTGATCCCAGAGCAAGTTTGCGATAACCATTAGGCGGGTTCTGGTGTCGGCGAACCAACGACAGATCACTGATCGCAATCTGGATCCGTGTGAATCAAACAGGCCATTTGTTTCACATAGTTCTGCATCTCGATCACTGATCCACCATGTGGGGTTTGGTGTCTGTAAATCAACGACTGATTAGTGGCCGTGAGGCAGATGCGTGTGAAACAAACATGGCTGTTGTCTCCATGGGGTGTGAACATACGTCGGCTTTGACGGTGGTAACGACTTGTTAGATGGTGACGCAGACCGGGATGGTGGTCAAGATGGTGACGATGGTGATCACGGTGTTTGATAGACATGGTGCGTGGTGTCAGTGGCTTTGGCGGTGACAGGGGTGTTGCTTTGATAGTGGTTGTGGGATACATGTTGAGGGTGTTGGAAAGTAACGATGGTGATGATAGTGCTAGGGTAATGAGATTATGATAAGTTGTGAGGATGGTGGTGATGATTTTGATTTTAATGTTGCTGGTAGGGTCGATGGCAACATTGTAATGGTGCTTTCGGTATTGACAAGAACGGTAGCATTGATCACTGTAGTGATGATATTTCTCCTTTTCTCTCACGAAAGTTTGCCAGCTTGATTGCGTCAACGGAGGGACAAAGATTTCCAGCAATGAAGAGTGCAGATGCGCATGCGCCAAAGGCTGGGAGGGAGACCAGTGTGAAAGTAAGAAAAAACTACTGCCGTCATAATGCTTGAAAACCAAAGATTCGAGTATTTATAGCAAATTGTTTAACAAGGGACGTTTAATTGATTAATGACGATTAAAAAGCAAACAAACAAACATGGAAGATTTTCCATTTTCTTTTCTGAAGTCGTGTGTCAAAATCATTATGAATTGTGCGAGCCGGATCCTACTCAGCCCAACCGCGGATCATACAAGAAGCACCAATGCTCCACACAGGATTTCGTTTATGACAAGTGCCATCTGCTGTGTGGGAGATGCGGTATGTTATCAAATTACATGTATATTAAATTATAACAGGTTATTTTATGTTTTATTTTACCTTCCGTTAAACCAAAATCACATTGTAAAATACATCTTAAAAATTGAAGGGATTTCTGAATGCATTTTATACCCGTGTACTTCTGACAAGATTGCCAAACATTCCCCCCTTATCTTTGACATTTTGGTACATATCCAATATGAAAACTCTACGATGCCATAAAGCTTAAGTGCTGAAGTTGTTAGAGAGCAGAAAAACGTCCTACGTTTGGGCAAGAAAACAGGATTAATAGACTTTAATTGTTTCAAATACTTATTTCAGAAAACAAATTTCGACGTGTGTACTCTTATTTTTTTCATGATGGCTTAATAATGGCATCAACGGACACTGTAATAAGTAGGGCGTCACCAAGAGAAAAAAATATGGAAAATGTTTCAGTTTAGCATGCCAACTTGCTCATGCTTTGGTATGGTAAAATATTTTAAGTTTATTGCAAAAAGCATATTCGAGAAACCCCACAAAAAAGTTGGCCCGCTGTGGCATGTTTGAAATCAGGTTATTATCCTCTTAATTGAAATACAAATCCTAACGCCTAAACATTTACAATGGGGAAAACATTTAATGATAACCTCTGACTGTTACATCCACCACTAAAGCCAGAACCCTAAATACCCTTTATCCTTAGTCTGTGACGAGCTTGGCATCTGCATGTAAACTTACATATATGAAATTCCCCTGCCCTAACGCAAACACTAACTCCAGAAGTGATTACGAGTGATCTTAACTTGTAGTCTTGCTTATGTTTTACGTAATAAAAACCCAGCGCGTAGTTTGCAATTAATATAAAGTATTTTTGCCACATGAAGACCGTCACCGTTAACGCTCTGGGCTTTTCCATTTTCATTAGAAAAGTTCGGTCCGGGTTCTCCTGGTTTTGAGTGTACACTGACGTGCGAAAATGGTGGAACACTAACCAATGACGACAGCGGCTGCTTCTGCACATGTGCAGAGGGCTGGGAAGGCACTAGATGCGAAGGTAGTATTCACGAAAGTGGTTTTTTTTAATTAGAGGGATGCAAAATGGAGAATATATCTTGTTCCTGCCAACGATGTGATATGATTTTAGGTACTAGTTTCCTCTGTCTTCAGCTCTCTTTAGTTTGCGATGTATCGCTTACAGAGCCTGGGCGGAATCCACGCCACAACTTTTTTTTCCGGTATCGCTGCAGTGCATTTTTTATGAGCTGAGCTTTTTTTGGGGGGGGGCTGGAGTAACTTTTTGCGATTATGTAAACACTAATGTTGTGAAAATTGAACGTACCGAGATAGTTTAGCCAAAAACGTATATATATATTTTTTACTGTCGTGCTAAATGCATGCGGGCTGGCAAGTGGGTAATCTTGAACTTCCAGAAACAACAAAACATAATGTTTGACTAAGTTCAAACCTCACATTTGTAATTATAACAAATTATAATTACATGTCTTTAAATGCTAGCAATTTTGCAAGAAAAACAAGCATGACACAGCCAAGTTTTGCGGGGTGCGATTCTCTCCCATCTCACCCCTCTGCTGTGAGATGGGCCAAAATAATTCTTCTCGGGTTGCATTCCTGAAACAACTTAACAACTTGATTTTTACATCAGTGGAAAACGCCCTTATCGTAAATTATTTCATATGTGGCTACTGTACAAGGTTTGGCACTATTTGAAGAGTATTTAATCGCCTGACTACCTCATATTTTGACCTTCGATTTACTCAGTATTTTTGGGTGATGCCCTTCATTACACAGCTCACTGCAGGGACAAGCGTGCGGGTGGTTGCGCAAAGATTTCGTACGCCTGTAAACGGGCGTCGTACACTACCTACATGAAGAAGAGTTGCGCCAAGACGTGCGGGCTCTGTGACGGTGAGTCTCAACGCCAACCACAATGCTTCTTGCAGCTACATTCCCATGAACACGTACCATTTTTTTTAATGATCCTACTGGTGTATCGGGGGCAAAATTTGACAGGGGTACCTGGCAGTGGATACTTCTTTTGGAGGAGACACTGAAAGCTGCGGCCTGTAATTGTTTGTTCATTGAAAGATTTCAAGAGGCAACACGGGGGGAGGTAGAATATCGGCCAGTGGGGGCGTGTATGTGTGGGGACCCCTTCCCACAATTATACGTGTACTACTTAATAGGTAACTGTGATCTATTTAACTGTACAATTTTGAATGTGGTAATGCACTCCTGTTTAATTATTATTATTATTTACATAAGCTGACGAAAAGGACTTCGGAGATTATTTCATTGGTATGTATATGTTTGTTTACTTAATATTATAATTTGGGTAATGAGAGTAAAAAATGGAGAAATCTGTGCCTCATAAAGCCATAGCAAACATGAAGACTAACATTAAATGAAAAGTCATTCGGGATGAGCAGGACGGGGATTGAGGTTCAAGTTCCATATGTAGAATTCGTGTATAATATTATCTCATAGAAATCCCGCTTCTCTGAGCCATGTTCTCCTCAATTTAGAAAACGGAACTGACCAAATACAAAAAACTCCTTCCAGTCACTGTATTCGCCAGCGGGCATAAACTAAACACGAGCCTCCCTTGGCCAGAAATAATTGGTCCAGAAATGACATTCTGGGTGCATTCGCATAGTTTCATAATCATTCCTAGATATATTCACCGACCCAGCAGTCAACAGACCACGCTTAAATTTGCCATTTGCAGCCTAATGAAACATGCCTATTAACTGCGCCGAGGATTTTTTTCTTTCAAATGTCGGCCCATCATTAAGACGTAGCTGTTTTCGTTGAGCGATTTGCACAGCACTTTCAAGACATACCTGGGGTCAACTTCCTGCGCACAAGTTGTTTAAAACGGAAACAGAGCCATTCTCAATACACCACCTGAACACTAGCATATATCCACTGGGGAAATGGAATTTTCTTTCGAATAATTGCCATTTATTTTACATCTATCATGGGAACATGAAAACGTTCCTTGTGAAAGGTGTGGGTATTGCTAAAAGGTTAGAGCTTTCAAAAAAGCAGAACGTCCCTAAGGGGGCTTCATACGCTACTACACTTGAGCCAAGTGTGTGACAGCTATCTGGATAAGTACACTGCATATAAATCTGTTTAGATTTCAGATCTCGCTATAATCTCTTGGGTCGTCGTCTTCCTGGGTTGTCAAGTTGACGTGCACGCCACTTACAACAGCACATAAAAAAAAACAAATGACGAGATACTGCCGCTGCACTTAGTTGTCGTATGCATGATGCGCGACTCCCGTCCTATCGCTGTTCATGGTTGAAGAGATTTTATGGCAAATAGAGTGCTACGCGTGAAGCCATACATTTAGAATACAGAATCAATTGCAAAACTCCTGACACTTACGTAAAATTGCGGTGATAATAAAGAGAAGAGTAGGGCATGCAAAGTCAGCTCTTCGACTTGCCGTTTTAAACTATATAATCCTCGAATAGGAAGTCGCAGTCCGTAACTGCTGATGAGGAAAATCAAATACACAGTCGTTATTATGCAACGTTTCTATAGCAAAATGCCACTCCGCAGGTATACTGGTAATACGTTATTTTATTACACAATACAGTGTGACAGGCTAAGTTAAAGTGAGTTGAGTTGATTTAAATTTATTTCCCTTTCAACATAAACTCGAACGCTACCAATTTGGCGAGGAAGCCGTAAATCTCTACAAATGGACAATTAGCAAGTAAAAAGGTGCCCGCAATTTGAAAAAGATCTTCAGGGACGGATCCTTAGATTCTGCTATGACATTTCAGCGTAAATTAGATCGTTGGAACTTCATTGAACTATACTAGGCCCCTATATTATGATGCTGGCACGTATTTTTACGTTGATGTTGGAGTATGACGTAATGGCCTCGTTCATTAACGGCAGTGGGTAGTCTTGATCGATTGGACCATGGGAGAACAGTGTGCCGTTGATACTGGGAGCGGTCATCAATTATTCAATTGGGGATGGACAGGACGGAATGCCTTGTATGTGTTGGATATTTTCTCTTAAGGCGCCTTTGAATGTGTAAAAATAGATATCTTGTACGTCTTTTGCGTAAGATGGGTTCATAGAGCATGATCAAAAATTGCTTCCATGTGAATAAGGTCAATTCTCCTTAAAATTCTTGCTTGTAGTACATGGCGAAACTCCCCGAAGATTCAAAGATTTACCTACAGTATCACATGAGGGACCTGGGATCGAGGTGGCATTTCTCATCGATTGCTCAGGTAACTTTAGAAAAGTGATGATGGGCTTCAAGCTCTATGGCAATGTGCGGTGTGCAGTGTGATGCGAAATGCGTATTTCCATTTTCCAGTCATTTTTCTCATACTGCGCCTACTCAAACCAAAGGCGCATAATAGCGTTAAAAATGTGTTTTGCATGATAAATTTAGCAACGTGGAGTAGATATTTTACGGTAAAGTCAATCTATTCGTTCAAAAGGTCAAACTTTCACGTCACACGGGAAAACAATGCAACGAGCGGTGAAACAGCTCAGTCAAAAAAAAAAGTGCACAGATGCTAAACCAATTTTACAATAGATGTGCCAAAAAGGCCTTAAACTGCCATTGAAATGGATTGGGTTTGATGTACTGACACAACGTTGTACATCTACATATATATGGATCACGTAATATTTAAAAATGAAGTGTTATTGATAATGTTTATTACTGTTCGAGTTGTTTAACTTCACACAGACTTTGTGAGTTGGTAGTTTTCCCCAGGTTAGCTTGCACTCAATGTTTCACTGTAGTCTTCTTTGAAACATTTTACCAGCCGATTTATTCAATACTTCAGTTCTGTAACATCTTCACTATAACGCTACAGTTTGTGAAAATGTAGAATATATTGTCAACAAAGACCATGAGGTTCAATATGCATTACTGTATCTTTTAACATTACGGTTAATGGCTGCTATATATCACAACATATATGACCCTAGAAGGAACCAGTTCGCTATTCAAATGGACCATATTCCACCAACTTGATAATTTTAATGCACAAAAAAAATCCATTGAGAACATTCAAATGAATCAGGTGCATCACACAAAGACCGGTAACATTTTTTTTCTTGAATGGCTGACATAAAATGAAAAATTACGGGATCCGTAAACTTTTTCACCGTTTGGACTGACTTTGACAGTATACATGTAGCGTTTTGGATTTGCATGCACAAAAATTGATTCCCGACCTTAATAACATCACATCTATAAGACAAGTGTAGGCCTATGCATTGCCTTCATTATTACTCCAGCGGTGATTCTGGCATAACTTTAATAAATTTTCTGTCGGAAACTGGAAATCGCTTATTATGTCCCCAACTCGCAAGCACAGGCAGCATGCGGGTCGATGCAGAAAGGCAACGGGGTATACTGCGGGACTACCTGACATCTTTAGACTACCAAGCGGGTGGGGGCATGCGGGTGTCCTTCGTCACTTTTGGTAGCGGGGCCAGTGTGCGACTCAACCTGTTCGATGCCGATTCCGTACCGCGGGTGCTGCGGAGCCTAGACGATGTTCGCTATGAAGGTATACGATGAGGAAATAACCAAAATATGGTGCATTTCATGCAGTTAGAGATTTTCATAGTAGTGACTAATTGTGACCTTAACCTTAGACATGTCTCCGATAAAAACTAGACGGTATCTAAATAGCTCAAGTAAAAATGTTATTGTGGTGCAAACATACACACTTTGCAACTGGAACAGCCAAATACTGGAAAAAAGAACTTACTCATTGACCTTTTCTTTTGTTATGTAAGGTGGACCAACAAACATGAAGAAGGCGTTCCAGTTTGCACGACGTCTAGTGTTGGTGCATTCACGCAAGAAGGCCCGCAAGGTCATCTTCGTGCTCACAGACGGGTTGTTCACAGGCAAGTCACCCGCCCAACTCGCCACAGCACTCCGCAAAGAAGGAGTCGAGGTAATTATGGGCTCTGATTTTCAGTACTCTTATACAGACCGATAACGTCATTTCTATAATGAACAGCGATCACTTTGGCGCACTGCTTGACACGCATATGGGAAATGCGGTGCACGGAAAATAGATTGGGGGAAACTGCAGCAAACGGTTGCGTGTCTATGTCTAAAGGCAGATTCGATCAATAGGTATTTTATGCCGATCGAAAATAACTGCTGAGTAAAAGTGCCCTCTGTCGTTCACGCAAACAGCTATACCCTACACTACGCACTTCCACAGACAGGGAAAAAAAGACTGAGAGCAAAACAAAATCTGAACCGATTATGCTGCCCCACGTCTATGCTATGAAAAACAGAATTTTGGTGGCCATCCCGTGTTTGAGGTCAAAATGGCTGCTTTAAATAGAAACCCCAACAGCGGTGAAAAAATGGAGAATACAGTTTGATATACTCACGTGGTATCTAAGTAATAAGTTATATATGTAAGTGGCACTGTGACTTCTGAATAAATAGTAATAATGCAATAAAAATATGGACCAATTCTGCTGGGGTTTTCCAAAACCTTCCACGTTTGTACCGGTACCATTGGTGGCGCTACGCAGAAATGCTTTTTGATTACGCACGACTGTGGAAACAGAAATTACGTCGTGACCTCGCCGGTCTGGGTTTCACGGAAATGTTTTCGTTTAGAGGGATCCCAATACGACGCTTTCAGCGTCGATCTGCACACTTCCGCGTTTGAAAACGAGGCTGTATGTGTCAGCTTCAACTCTTAATACGATCGGACAATTGAAAGTAAGGAGTCAAGACACAAATACATAAAGGTATGTTACATTAAGAATTGAAAAGGCTGCAAATCTTTGTGGAAGAGTCTTTCAGGATGACTCGACACGTAAAATCAAAAGAAAAAAATAACGGCATTTTACTGCGAACTAACGTACCTGCGATGGTCGTGTATTTGCGTGTCCAGTGGTTAAAACTGAAGTGGCGCCACGCTTACGAACCGGATACTTCATGCACTATGTCGACGAAGTTCAACACAGAGAACCTCGGTTTCGATGCGGTTATGCGCAAACGGCGCTAATGTGAAATCCAACTATAATATAGGCCTGCACGCCTGAGCTGCCAGCCTAGCTTGACACATTTTTCGGAATAAATAACATCATAAAAAACATTGAAAACACCTGTCCTTCACTCTGAACTTACCAGGTCATATTTTATGATCTTGGTCTCCTTCACCGCCTCGTTCACCTGCGGTGGCCCCATCGTCAGCCCGGGGGCCGGGCACGATGGGTTCAAAGCAGTGAGGCTCTGCGCCTCGTACTTGGGACAGTGTACAACCATGGAGCTATTAAACACAAGGAGTCAGCACATGCAGAGATCAAAAGGGTCAATGATGGCCACCGCAAGCACTGCACGTGCTGCAAGGACAAAACAAATTCCGCACCGATTGTGTGCTACAAGGAATGCTCGGGTTTGCATTTGCAAATGATCGTGGATACCGCGCATGCATGTCCATAACCCTTCCGCATGTTCAACATGGCCGCCTTGAGACGGAAACCATTGTCATTGGAGACTTAAATTTCGATAATTTCAGTGATTGTTCGGATATTCCAATGACAATGAAAGTATAGTAACGTCTTTACATCCCCCAAAAGTTTCTCTTAACAATAAACAGTATTACTAACTAACAGAGATTCTCAAAAAAATACACTGAAGAAAAAAACTGATAGAATGTAGCTGGTCCAGAGGAAAACAAAAACACAGAAAATAAAATGTATGGGAAGATTCGTTGTCCTTTCTGTCATTGTCCGCAACTGTATCAGCATGAAACCTCACCATGTTGTCAAATGCATCCCTGCGGCATGTTTCCACCATCTTTTAACAATAGGTACCACTAGGATGGCGACTCATGGTATAAATATCGCAGTTAATATTTTGGGTATTTGTTCTCTACCGCCAGAAACGCAAAATGTCATAACTGACTTTAAAAACGTCCGACTTTTGATTTGGAACGTTCGAGCGCATCTGCGGAGATCACTCGCTGACTCCCGAGGACTACTGTGGGTTACCAGCTACCTGTCGGTTTCGATCACTGTGTACAAAGGATGTCTAGGTTCAACACTGGGGCTGGTAACCGCGCTTTGTCTATGGAGCCGACAGGAGCAGTTAATTGGATTACGGTCCGTAGGGACTTCGTTCTAACTCCTTGTGTTTGACAGTTCCAACTGTAACTACACACGCGTTACTGTACAACATGCACGCGTAATTATGTGCATTAATTGACGTGACCGCGCCGGCTCAGTGCGTACATGCGACAGCCCGAGAACCGTTTCCACAATACTATGACGACAAAATCCTGGAAAAGCCGTATTCATGAGATGTAAATGTGGCCGCAATGAGGACACGCTCCTTTCACGAAAGCTAGCCAGGGCGCTCTGTAGAAACGGGTCTCAAAAGCGAGTTTTTTAAACCAAAAATGTTGCTGAATCCGGGTTTATGTTGCATGGATGTACATAATGGGATCCAACTAACCATACTACAGCCAGATTTCTTATTTTCTTCCACGGTTGGGGTTGCTCTTTAAACAAAACCCAAAATACATCACGCACAAAATGACAGCGACTGTTCTATACAACTGCGTCAACACAGTTTCCAGTCACACAGCTGGATTGTTGCCCTTATTTGAAGAGGTCATTTTACACCAGCCCCTTTTTCGTAGCGTGAAGTCAGTGGCGATAAAAGCCCAATCCCGTTGAAAAGGTGAATTGTAAAAGCGTTTTATTTGATTTCGCAATTTGCTTAAAAGCTTTCACTTTACTATAGCTACGCAATATAAATGGGCGCCCAGCGTCGGAAGAGTCAATTTATCCGTCAATGTTCCTTTATATCCGAGCTAATGTCACCACGGGATGTGTCTCTGGGTATCAAGTTCTAGTGCGATGCCTTGGGAGGTAGGTTCGAGGAAAACCGCGTCAAGCATGGGGAAAATAAGTGGTTTGGTTCTGTAGATCCGTTGGATCGGGTGACAACTGCGACAACCTTAATTGATGCACATCGTATAAAACAATGAGTGTTTATGAGATAGTTATTTTGTGAGTTGACAGATTGAATGTACTATTCTCCGAGGCCAAGCTGAGTGCAAAGGAACATTCGATTTCAGACTGTTACACTTCCATTGCACAAAATGTAGATAATTCATTGCTCATATCTGAATAAGTCCCCTTTCTATACAAGTCGCCCTGTTATTTTTTTCGTCCCCCCCAAAAAAAGTTCCAAGTCGAGTCTGAGTTTCACCACTTGACGGCAGATGACACTTCTGCGGTTAACGCATTAATGCGTCATACTTGCTTGTTGGATCGAAGTACGGAAGATGATCCTTGCTCGCGGACGCTGCTACTGAGTGGCCTTACCCAAGCCAACAATAAAACGGACATGCCTTTCTGGAATACTTACAAACGAAAAAAGGTTACAAGTAGCAACTCCCTTGTATCCAAGCAATTAGAAAACAACGACAGCTTCTAAGTCTGTTGGCAACAGAATATAGGGATTTTTTGCTTTTCATTGAAAAAGCCGTCGTCGTTATTGCATATCTGCACAGTTTCATCCCGCTGGGACATATACTTTTGGAGATTTAAGGCTTCAAAGAATACACCTTTAATGTCATTTGACTTGTCTACTGATGACGTCTACATCTTATGGGGTCAATTTTCGTCTATCACACATCCCCTTCCAGATATCTGCTAACTTTCAACACGCTAGGCCATGTCCTTTTGTAGATACAGGGCCTTAAAGGATGCACCTTTAATGTCACGTGACTTGTCTCTAGATGACGTCATCATCAGGCAGAATCAATATACCTCTGAAGCACTCCTTTTTCAAGAAATCTCTGCAAGATTTGAAGCCGATCGGACGTGTACTTCAGGAGATATAGGGCCTTGAAATGTGCACCTTTGATGTCACGTGACTTATCTCCTGATAACGTCATCATCACGAGGTCAAAACTCTTCTAAAGCACTCTCTTTTCAAGATATCTGCAAGATTAGAACCCGATCAGACATGTACTTCAGGAGATATGGGGTCTTAAAGAGTGCACCTTTAATGTTACGTCATTTGTCTCCTGATGACGTTATCAACACATAAGTTCAATATAACTCTAAAGCACTCGCTGTTCAAGATATCTGCAAGATTGGAACCCGATCAGACATGCACTTCAGGAGATACAGGGCCTTGAAGTGTGCACCTTTAATGCCACGTGACTTGTATCCTGATGACGTCATTGTCACATCACATCAAAATTCCTCTAAAGCACCCTCTTTTCAAGATATCTGCAACATTTGAACGAAATTGGATATACACTTTTGGAGATATTGTACTTTAAATGGTGCGCCTTTAATGTCACGTGACTCTCTGCTGATGGCATTGCCATCACGTCAGGTCAATTTCTGTTTTCTAAACTTTCCCTTCCTAACTACCTGCAAGGTTTTAACCCAATAAGACATGTACAATACAATACATAATAAAAAAAAAGCATTATACTTACCGCGAAAAAGGCACAAATTAGATTTTTAAACATTGATCCGTTATGTTGTTCCGTACAATGCGATCGGCTCTCCGTAGCACGTGGTCGGCATTTTGCCAAGTCCCGAGTATATGCCCTATGCATTCCGCGCCGTCTATGTTGCAGGCAGATATTGGGCGTCCACACACACATAGTAGCATATGCACGACATGCGAAATGGGATTTCCGAGTTGGCAATTTATATTTCAAGGGGGTTTTTGACGGCGACGCTTCATGTGTGTGAAAAAGTACACCAGTTATGCACTTCATGCAGCTGACTCCAATGTTTTAGCTGTCATCTCATGCACAATTCACGCTTATATCTCTTACAATTGATTTTTACCGAATTTTGAAGAATAAAAGAAGTTTTCATTTAAACTTCCGGTCTGATGACGTCATCAACCCCATACTTCACACACGTGTTGACATGGTTAAGATGATTATCTACATAAATTTTCAAGCGATTCGAACAACTGCGCCACAGACATCTATTAAAAATTCATTTTTAGGAATTTTGAACCTGTCGCTAGAGGGCGCTCAATAATTAGGTGATGTCATCAGTAGATGATTTTAAAGAATAAAATACCCCGACAGATTAACACCGTTGAAAACAACCTGAAACCTATTACCATTTTTAAACAATGGACCACTTCCGGTTTTGACAGGAAGGAAGGGTCACGTGATTTGACCCACACGAGATGAATTCAAGACCACATTTTATCCTGCCACTTGCTGCAAACAGAATGTTGTGGGAGGCCACGATTGATTTTATATGGATTTTTATAAATTTAAGGGAGTATTTAAATATTCAATATTTAATAATAAATCACTTGATGACGTCAGCATGACGCAAATATTTCAGTATTTTCTGTGTTTTATGGTCAGTGCATGCTGTAACTTTGACGACGATCAACGATTACTAAAGTACCGAAATAGTGCCTCGAAAACGTGAACAAAGTGAAGGGGCTGAAAGGAATATTTAAAAATCAATAATAAATCCCTTGATGACGTACTACAGTGCCGCGGAGAAAAACTGCGTATAAAGGCACGGGCACAAGAAAAAGAAGAAAAAGTAAAAAAAAAGAATCTTGACAGAAAGAATACCTTTTTCGCAAACTACCAAAAAGCAAAAAAAAAAGATGATGATAATAATAATTATTGCAACTAGTGACGCCTATATACGCTGTGGACCTCTCACATGTGAACCTGCCATAGCTTTAACTAGGGCAGTTGAAAAACGGGGGAAAAAGAATGAAAATACTGATATAACTCAAGAGCTCTTAGTGCCTCGTTACATATTTCATGGGCACTATAAATAAATTGCAATGTTGAAGAATTTCAGGGGGACAAAATAGCCCCAGCAGCTTTTCGGGTAAGACAATTCGATGTGAACTGGCTATCATAATGCATCAAGTATTAGGATGTCTGTGATGTGAAGAGCCACGACGGCTTATCGCCCGCGCACATTGCGTGGTTCAGTATTCGTGTTTGGTTTTGTTTGTTTGTTTGTTTGTTTGTTTGTTGGGGGTGTTGGGGTGTTTGTTTGTTTGTTTGTTTGTTTGTTGGGGTGTTTGTTTGTTTGTTTGTTGGGGTGTTGGGGTGTTTGTTTGTTTGTTTGTTTGTTTGTTTGTTTGTTTGTTTGTTGGTAGGTTGGTTTCTTGGGTTTTTTGGGGGGGAGGGGGTTGTTTTTCCTTGTGGGCTACTCTGTCTACCGCGCGGGCATTTCAGCGATCACAATCCTGAATGAACCGATCAAGGCAATGACACGTGATCAACGACCCACCGATCAGAAAGCGGGAATTATCCAGGCTTAAGGGAGAATTGCTTCCGTTATACTGCGTTGATCTGGATCCCCGTTTTTGCATTATTCACTGCATGCAGACTCCTTCAATTGACTATTGAGGTAGGATCACAATGCCAATGTTATATTTCCCATTAAACCTACCCAACGGGGCCGTGAGTCGCCCAGTTTATCGACACAACAGTCAGTTGATTCAATCTAACTCGGTAGACGCTAGTTGATTGGCCGTAACCCAGTATGCAGGTTCAGTTGGCCTTCAGCAATTTGTTCCATGATGATTGTACACCGAGCCTAAACGTATGTGCCACCGTCTACTACTTTAAATGAATTGAAGTATCTCACCCGAATCGATTCAGGTAAATCTACGAGAATCAGGTTGGCCACTATCGTGGGGCTGGCAAATCAAACGCCGCAAACGACCTGTCACGTGATATATAGGTAGATGTTGAAGGTCACTCACTGGAAGAAGTATACACGTACATATACTCTTATTTTCTATGGTGTACCCGCAGACCTTCTCTTAGTCTAGCCTCGTCTACCGTGAAAAGTTTCAAATCTGAACTTTCTCTTCTTCCGTCACAGAAAGTAGTTGTTGCTTATCAAAAGACGTAACAGCTTTTGTCAAGCGATGGAAAGCATACTATGATTAGTCATTAGTACAAAAATTAAAGAATGACAGGGTTATAACATCTCCCGCATCTATTGAATCAGTAGTAAATACTACTATAAAAAAGATGACAGCACCCATGTAGACTGAAGACAGTCTATACAGGAACGCTTTTAGTATTGAAGACCTACATTGTGAACATTAAACAAAGATGTGAATTTTTGTCGTCTTTATCTCGCCATAGATATACGCTTTGAGCTTCAACGAACACTACATAGCAGACACCATGCAGGAACTTGTCGACGATCCCTTGCATGTAAAGGTTGTAACTTCAGCAAGTGACATCCCAGCTCCATATTAAGGGTGGCCGGCGGTAGTCGACTATTCCATACGCCCCTAGTCGCTTTGACAGTTCAGCCAAACTTTTTGAGTTGATCTGGACAATAAATACTTGCTATCATCATCGTATATTATAAAAAAAATACATCGTTTTAATTAATTTTGAACAACAGTTGCAGTAATTTAAACGTATCTTGAATAGTTACCAAAGAGGCGAGAATTTTTTTTTTTTTTTTTTTTTACAGTAGAATCATAAGGAAGAACCCGTGGTGAGTGATTCAATCTGTAGACGACTACGATCCACTGTAACACAATTCATATAGCAAAGAGAGTTTTCAGGGATTGCAGTGTCTGACATGATATCGGACACTAATTTTATTTCTTCATGTCGCGACAAGAGATCAATGTTCTATTTTTCAGTTGTGGGGCTAACCACGTTTAATAGCTGCATATAAAAAATACCAAACGGGCAGTTTGCACAAATTATATACACACTAACATAACACATGTAGTTGAACACGCTATAGCTTGCATGAAATAAATCTATGCAGTTTACTTCGATCTATTTTTTTTTCTATTCGGACAGGGCATTCTCACTACTAAAATAATATGATTTGAAGGCAGAGAATTGTTAACTTTGCTGTGAAGGGAAACAAAATCTCCCTCGGCATTCTCCGATGACAGTGACACCCGTCCTTGCAAACGGATTTCTCCTGTTAAGTTTGTTACAGCTTATCAGTACGGTATTTGTCTTCCCTTGTCGCTTAGAATTTGTCAGCTATTAAAACGGAAATCATCGGCAAATAAAACTTCATTTGAAGCATAAGATTTTTTGCCTGATCGCGTGCTTGACACGTGACGGCCGTATTTAATGACTTTGGCCTTTGATGGGAGACGAGGCAACGCATGAAACCTCAAGAGTAGCCGAGTAGATTTATCAGCATTTGCAGAGTGCATAGTTAAGGGGTATCATCCCGTCTCGTCGTCAATACACGGTTTTCCCTCTAAGCCGCGTCTGGCTCAATGATCCAGGGTAGTTCAAAGCGTGGCACAGTGTGATGATTATGGATAGAAAAAAAAAATTACAGAACTTCAACGACCACGAAGAAAACAGTGCCATAAGATTTTCTCGCAAAGCCCGTCATCAATGTTGATAAAAATAACTTCATGCTGCTAGTTGAGACGAGACTTCGGCACCAAGAGATACGTGTACTTATAGCTGCCTGCGGTGTAGGGTCCGCGGTGTTCTGTACACCCATGAGGGGGCAAATGGCACTTGAGGCCAAGCTGAGGGTGCCATTTGGCCCCGAGGGTGTACAAAATCCATGGACCCCGTCACAGAAGGCAAAGATTGTTTTGTTTTATCCTGGTCATAGACTACACTGAAACGGTCTTATATGTGCAGTATATGCATATTTTATTGCAAGATGAAACACTTTCACAAATTGAAACACTCAGACAGTGGCACATGCGAAGCACACAGCGGTTCTATGTCCCCACACAGGCAGGGGTCCGTCAGCGGACCCTTATGCCAATATACCATATTTCTTACACTGCGTAGTGCAGTACCACCGCGACTATCCATCCTCGTACTTAAGATTACATAATTACAACGCACTGGACACGACACATCAACTATGGGAAAGATCACCGTCAATATCCATCATTTTCTTGTAGCCCGGGGAACATGGTCAATGCAAACGTCGTGTAAATGATGCATGCGCGCTTGTAGCATATCACTTGATCGATTCGCGACCAATTAAAATCTACTATCTATGACTGTGGTATAACAAACATCTTTGTTACATTCACAGCTGCGCGCACGTATGCATGCGTGCCCCCTCCCCTATGAAAAGAATCCATCGAAAAGAAGACCAGAATTTAGGAAAACGTGGGTTTTCGATATCACGAACGGACGTAAACCTTTATCAATTGATTCCGGCTAATTAACCACCGCGTTCAAATTACTTGGTTCTTGCAAACGTTTTCCAATCAGAGAAACATTTTACGCTTTTTACTGCATAAACTTGTTCCATATTAGTATTAAACGGGAGATATAGCATTATAACCCCCCCCCCCCAAATTCTAACAAAAGGTTTTTCAGCAGTTCTATCTGATGTGATGAGTGACAGGAAAAAAGTCTATCGAATTCCGACCACCGAAAGTGTTTTTTTGGGGGGGCGGGTGGGGTTCATTTCCAGATGGCCAACCCGGTACTGGAAAATCACTAAAATGGTCGTTATTTTCTGTATATGCAATATATAGATTTAGTTTCAGTGTCTTCATAGGGTTTCCAGGGTCAACCAATATCGTATAGCGACGGGTAGCGGCGCAAGATGGCGACCTTCACCGTGAGTACACGTAAAATGTTGTATTCGCATCGGCGCCATTTAAGCAAGCAATACGCGTGCGCAATGCACATTAACGGACAGAGTGCTGGCGCCGCGGCAGGCACGTGCCCCTGCCGAGCCTGCGTCCAAGCATTACCGTAAACTACAAAGGCGTATTGCTTGCTCTAATGGCGCCCACGGTAATTACATCGTTTGGGCAGAGTTACCCATCTTGCGCCTTCGGCGCTGTATGATCTTTGGTCATCATCGGTACAAGTTGATCTTGATCAAGTCTCCAACCCCAGTCCAAAGGATTCGTGGCACTCTCTGTTCCCATCCATGCCATGGTCTGATAATACACTCGGAATCAGTGGTATTTTGTTGAGAATTCTGTTGGGGGAAGACGTTCAGGTGTAAGAAATGACTTGGCACCAACACCTTTCCTCATGCGTATGTTGTACCGTAGGGTTGCTAGAGGATATGTGCTTGTTCCACCAAAGATTACAGCCACTGCTTTGCTGCCAAGAGCTTCTATGTCAGTGCAACTCTTTTGAAATTAATGTATTGGCACCGAACTGAAGAACCAGGTCGCTTTTGACCAGCTTTTGGAACTCCGGTTTCTTTCCAACCCCCAAAATTCTTGAATCACAACCTGTGAACGCAATAACAGTTGTGTGCATAATTCACTGCAAAGACTCCGTTTCATGCAGACAAGTGACAGCCTTTCGACTGATTGTCCGATCTGAATTAGAGCGGCTTTCCATCTTTTGTTGAGTAGTGCAGAAGACGAATCAGCAAGTCAGTGTCCTCCCCAATCAGGGTGGTGTAATGTGCCTTAGCAATGTCAACATTAGCATCACCTTCTGCCTGAGTAACTGCACAGCCTGCTCTCTTGAGTTCATCGCGTATCACACCAATTAGCCGCTGCCTGTTGGTGCCCCTAGACAGGAGCTCTTCCCTTTTCCCTTCAAATACCCTTTCAGAAGTGAAGTTGACAACTGGATGGACATATGTTAAGCCCTCGTCTCTAGTGTGTGTTATCCTTGATCGAAGAGCCTGCCGAATACCCATCGCACACAACAGTTGCTGTCCCATAATGCTTTCATGCAAAGTTGACATAAGCCTTCGCTATATCACCGTAGGTATGTCCTCTTTCCCACTTAGCTTATGCAGTAAGGAGCCACCATCAAGCACATATCTTTCAGTCTGCGGAATGGGGTCTGATGTCACTTCACTCAGTGAAGCCTTCTCACAGTGGCCGTTGAGGGTGTGTGCTAGTTGAGGTTTGCCAACCCTTCTCATAATGGAAATGTCCTAGGGAGGGGGGTATGTGCTAAGCTCATACTTCATCACTTCCTCGAGGGACAGATCTTCGGTTCTGGACACAACAAGGAATCTCTGGAAGAGCAAACTAGGATTAATAGTTCTGTCAGGAGCTATCTTCACAACGGAAGAATATCCAAGAGTCTTGACAAGAGTCTTGCCCGACTCTTAAAGGAAAGAGAAAATAACGACTGATTCTTCATTTTTTCAGTAATTATTCTTCCAACAAAGTCGTGTTTGTGCGCATCAACATCTTCCTTGGCCACTATACCAATAACAATTTTTCTCAACGTGGGGTCTGAGGAGAACGGCGAACACTAATTTAGCTTTGTGCTTATTTTCGAAAGGTCGAATCAGTTGAATCTTTGCACTGTTTACTTGTGGTATAGGAAAGATTACTGAACTCTTGCATTGCAACGTTAACCTTGGACATTATTGGGGTAAACAAGCCCCCTCTGCTCTTGACTGATCTCATTTGTGTTTGTTCAATAACTAGATCACAACTAAGGCGTGCTCAAAACTGGTTTGTTCTCCGAATAACATAGAAACCATCTTGAATCTTTCTGTGGACATCTGGATGCTTGCTCTCTAGTTGGTTCATTTCTTGGACGCAGAGGTATACCGACCTGAGATAGTTGTAATGTCCAGCTGCGGCAATGGCAAGGGATCAACAACAGCACGCAAGTGATCATCCCAAGAACCAGTGCGATCTGCCTTGATTAGCGCCCGTGCAGTTTGAAGCATCCGCTGATACCCCAGCAATAACTGACTTGTTTTAGATTGTTCACTGAGCCCTACTTTCTTTTTCTTGAGTTCCTCACTGATGCTAGTAGCTTCAAGAGATTCAACAAGAGTACCAAGAGTGATGTTACCCTTCAGCAAGGACGACTTTCAGTCTCCTCCAACAAAGAAAAGAACTCATGATCACATCAGTAACAGATTTTACAATCATTTTATGGAGACACGTGTCCACCAGCGCAGCAGAGGCCCGCGGAATAGCCTTTGAACCTATTTGCCAGTCATCATGTGCACCACCGCATTTTACAACTTCTGGAAAACTTCTAAACCCTGTGCCCTCCATCAAAGCACCTACAGCTCGAAGCAGATTCATGAACAAGTAGAATACCAAGCCTCACCGCCATTTCCTTCAAGTGGGTATTCTGTGATGCAGCATAGTGATTTCCATGGCCTTCCAAAATAGCGGTTGGTCAAACGCTACTACTGGGTGGACGTGGTGTCTGCTGGTCAGGTTGTTGATGAAATCCAATGTGGACAAAATGGAGGTTTTATCACCAGAACGCATGTCGATCATAGGCAAATAAATGATGGACCTTCCTGGGTGTGCGTGTCCCTGATGAAGCATATGCATCATACCCTAGAGCTCCTACGACACATCCACTCTCATGTTGCAATCAGTAAGATGAGGAAGTTCTTGGAACCTGATGCACTTCTCTTCAGTAAGGGATTTGAAGACAAATAACAGAAAAAGGACTATGTTTCATTGTCCACACCGACATTGTCAGGTCCAAGGGATCCAATGATACAAATATCAATGCAATAAAACTCACCCGGGCAAATAATGCATTTGGTTGTGCGCCTGCCATAAATGGGTTGTATGGCTACCGTGACTTTGAGGCGCCCTAGAAACCTGATTTCAGTGGTTCAGCATGTATTTTCAGTATCGAATATATTAAGATTAAAGGGCAAAGTTACCTCTTAACGGCAGCATCTGGGATTTTTTTTCTAAAATGGCGATCACCATAAAAGAGTTTCTGTATATTGATTGTTGCTTCAAAAATTCCAGTGACTAAAAAACAAGGTGTCTGAACTTTTTCACTACGTACAATTCCGATAATAACCACTCATCTGTGTCAAATGGGCCCTTAATGTCCACACATACCACACAGAAAGAACGACCCCATATTTAATCGCACCGCATCGTTTATTTTTCAAGCTTTTTGGACTTTTTTTAATTGTCAATCTTTAACGTAGGCTATGTACACGTACCTCACAGGAAAAATTACAACCTCCCGCTTTTGCTACAAATATAACTTTATGACGTCACGACCGGGGCGATCACCTGGACCCCCTACCAAAAGCGCCCTCAGTCATCTTTAAGTGAAAAATATCCTTAAGTTGATGTACAAGTATTTAAACACAATTGTCATTTTTGAACAGTAATACTGTTAACTTATGAGACACTGAGTATTAGACTGGGCTGCGGGTTTCTACATGGGCCTTTGTACAATCGAGAAGTTTAAATTACAGGTATTTAACAATGTACAGGAAAATGGAACAACCCAATGAGGAGCGCAGCAGGCTCGTGTTCGTGTCTGACTTAGTCCAGACTGAGATCAAAATGAATCATTGTAATCGTAAAAACAGTAACGGCCAATCTCGACTTTACTGAACACAACGAATGAGCTTGTTTCTTACATAAGACATTATCTACACTATGTCGAAGTTACAGATCTCACAATTATGAAAATCTCAGCTCTAAGAATAAGGAAACTGGAGCCAAAATATCTTGACCCCATCCCAGCACACAAAACATATAGTATGTCTAGCCAGACCCAACAACTCAAAATCGCACACTTAGTATATTTGGCCTTAGTGAGGAAACAAAAGCTTCGTCACGAACAATTATTAAAATATGTTGTACATATAGCTCCAATATCTCCCCTTGCTTATGAACACCCTGGATGGGGATTGGGGCCTGATTCGAACAATAACTTGGCACCTGGAATAAATGTAGGTTTCATTTGTCCACATACTCGAAAACCACTGATGTCAATTCCAGAAATAAAACAAGTCATGTAAAACAATGGCATTATAGTGTAAAAGGTAATACTTTCATGGAAAATGGACAATGATGAAATAAGATAATCACGTCACATTTGCATTTGAACCGCAGAGCTGGCTATAACGTTCTTAATAAATTTGAAGTGCGCCCCGGAATTACTACAACGCCCAAAAAAGTTACAGGCATCTCCTTCTTATTTAACGTTGAAGTCCAGAAGATGGACATATTCCTAATACCCGACTATTTCCCTTAATATGCAGACTACGAATACCCCGAAGTTGATAACGCAGACGACTTTTTGAAATTGTACAATACAGCAACGAATACAGATTTATATAGCGCCTGTGAGGCACATTTTTGATTCTACATCAATTCCACTCGGGCCAGTCTCCCTCTAATATCTCTATAACATCATCGATATTACAAGAATCGTTTACACTAAAAGTTCCAGGACGTAGTTTGAACCATCGAGTACAGCCTGTAATAATGATAGCACACGCCAGCCATCACTGTGATACACAGTCACATGCCACCAACCTTACCTTGCTTTTCCTTTTACTTCAGCAATATACAGTTAATTCACGTCGCATCGCGTGTGCAATGCGCACTGCTATCGGCCAAGGCGACCTTCTTTGATACGACCGTACAAAGTAAGTCACCGTTTTCGACATCACGAACTCAGAAGTACCCGGAAGAATCACTTTGATTTCTGCTGATGCCATTCATGCCAATATACATTGTGCGTGCGTTGGATGGAAAAAATGATGTGCATGGGAAAGGTAATTAGTTTAAGCAACGAAATGTCGTCAAGAGTGAATTCCAGTGTTGTGCAAACACAGCTGCAGGCAAATACACAAAGCTCCACTGGAGAAAAAAAAATCAAGAGGTTTATCTTACAGTTGGACAATAAAGAACGTACATGTACGTGGAAGGAGCCTCTTCTTCTTAATGGTTAGGACGGATAAGGAGCAACTGCAAAAGGTTGGCAAGACTAAATGATTGGCTTACAACCCTTTTCTTTACCTCCTCGGTCCACCCCTTGGAGGCTGGCTGATTCTACATCTACATTCATTGTACTCAAGTTGAAATCAAACAAAATTCATCGGTCCACAATTCTCACTCAACGTCAGATCAATTACTTATACGTTGTATTATGAAGTGTGCGCAGCTGACACCCCTGGCTTTTCTTCATCCAGACACATCTCAATAATCGCGGTGCTGGCTCCACTGACTGAAAACCCACCAGCAACCCGACGTAAGTGTATGCATGAAACCTTCTCCGGGACAGAAGCCATTAGCCTACGATAAGCACACTTTGAAGTGAGGGGAATAAAGATGCTACACACTACGCTCTACAACACTAAACTCTACCGAACAATACCAACAGAAATACGTGATTCAGGAAGGCACTACGTATGTATTTACTACATGTATATAGACGCCAGCTATCCTCCAAAAGAGTTACATATTTTTACCAGCGAATCATTTCATTTGCACAGTGTACCTTCAATAGTCGAGTCCATGTAAATCAGAATAAAACCTTTGTGCATTGGGAAAGTGATTTCTCTTTGACACACTATTTCAACAAATTCTCACAAACAGAATACATGCAGCTTCGATACAACAGATGAGTGTAGGTGTGTGTGTGTGTAAACGGCAGTAGGGGTCAACTCAATTTCAGCTTCGAGTAACTCGAATCAGTCACGCATGAGACAATGGTTTACATTTGACTTTAAAAAATCTATTTGAAAACATTGCACACAATAATTAACCCTATTCTGTTTTTAAAAAGCATTTACAGTGTTGAAATAATATATACATGAACATACACATGTACAAAAGGCATGATGCATGCAACTAATAGTGGGAAAGAAGCTATCGTAATTTCGATTTAAACATGTTTACACTAAGTTTGAAGAAGCACACACTTATGGCCTCCAAAGCCTCGCTTCCACACTGAGGTCAGGTGACACAGTCAGCTCCAAACATTTTATTGCAACTGATGTAAGCGCGGACGAAGATGATGTTTTAACTTAGCCTACTGTCTGCGTCAAGTCGTAAGACGTGGTCCATGTACACAGGCCTACCCCTCACAGACGGGCATGCATGTAAACATGTGGGAGCGTGAGTTTGTTTCTGCATGCAATTGGGGACCCTGAACAATAGAGGACAATAAGGTCGCCGATTGACAGAGGGCCCCCGATGGACAACTGTGTACAAAACATATGAGTGGTCTTCTAAAAAAGTTAGAGTACAAACAAAAGAGGAACAATAGGGGGTCCACAGTTGCAGGCAAATGCACATTTGTGTGTATGTGTGTATGTGTCTCTCTCCCTCGCAGGAGCAGGCCCATTTTCTTCTCATGCCTAATACATACAACGCTGCATGTCTGAAGTACCAATTCACAAGTAAATGTAGGTTCACGAAAAGGCATATACATGTAAATACCTGAAAAAGGGCATTTCGTATGAAAATATTTGGAGGATTTGGAGGAGACACCTTGTTTAATTTTTGTCAGATGATGTCATCCACCGTCTTAAACGCGACGGTCTTCGTCTTTCAATCTTGCGTACTGTCGGCAATCGTTACCACAACATGGGAACGATACTTAACGCAGCAAAGATGACGCTTTATGGATTGCTTACCAAGATAAAATTGCAATAGTAAAAAGTTAAAGCGTTGTTCAATTTTTCATAGATTCACTGATAACTACTTTTGCACAAAGCATACTTTGAGAAAAGCACTTACAAGCGCTTTTGCATCTCTGATAGGAGATGGGGATAGGCTTTTGTTGGCTGATAGAATATTTGTCATTGTTTGCCCTTTGTAATGTAATTCAGCAGTAGATTTTAGGGGTGCTTTCGCATCTGTGATAGGATGCTTTTGTTGGCTGATAGAATATTTGTCATTGTTTGCCCTTTGTAATGTAATTCAGCAGTAGATTTTAAGGGTGTTAAATTGGAGAAACTTAAATCAAAATCCAACGATTAAAATACACGTGTTTAAACTTGCAATATAAAATGGCATCATGATATTTTCTAGAAAAAGATACTGTGCACAATTTTGGACTGCCATTTAAGAGACACTGGATGAATAGACGCTTAGAGCTTTGCGTTGTCCACAGTTTGTGCGCTAATTTTTCCCAGCTTCATGTACAGTGTCAAATGCGCGGGAGGGGGCTATATCGGTCCGGTGTCCAACAGAACACTATGGGCGCGACGTTGCAACTCCCTCCTCAATAATGTCGAGAATATTCTGTCTGCGTGATCGAGCACTATCTAATTAATGCCACAAACAACCTGCTCTTTCTATTCTGTTTCTGGCCTGACACTCTAACAAACGGGTCAACAGGAGTGCTACATTCACCGTACAATTAAATGACAGAAAATAATGAGGGCTAAAATTTTCAAAACATTCAATAAATGTTAAAAATGGCTACCATACTACACGTACGTACATTTGTCACTTTAAAGCAATGGGTGCTTCTCTTTGAATGTTCAGGGACGGTGATTGGCATACGACTCCAATATACACATTTTCTGTTCCAAATAAACTTCTTGGGGATAAGGTAACTGCTTACTGGTGCGATATAACTGCAATTTCAGGGATAGGTTTCTTAAGCTGTCAACAAAACCTGGATCAACAGTAAACAGAAATAACTTCCTTATAACCAGCTCAAAATACTAACATGACCTTACAGCAAATCTCTTTTGAGACAAGAAAACGCTGTACGCAGGGATATGCACAAATAATTACCCGTAGCAAACAATACAACCAGGTACCTTACGGAAATGCTCCCGTTGTATAACCACGGTAATTACAAAAAAAAAAGGGCCTCTTTGACAGCAGCTGCCTACAGGGATACGTACATGTACATATTTAATAGCTGCAGAGGAAGAAAATTGCCTTTTTCAGGAGGAGCTATAGCAGGGAGAATAATTGAATCACCATGGAAACCACGAGGACAAAATTGGAGAGGACTGTCTGGAACACTATTTAGGAAGTCCGTTGGTCAATTTGACTATCAAATTTGAAAATGCAGTTTCATCGAGTCGTTGGAAGTCGGGTGTAATGATCATGAGGAGAGCATGTGTACGCGAGCGCCTCCAGGCAGGTACATGCACGACACAAAAGGTGACACTTTACCACAAATGTCAGGATGATTGAAAAGCATGAAGATAGAGTTACTCTAGGCATGGATATAATATGTCGCCCATGTGGGAACATAATTTCATCAACTACGTGCATTAAGGTGCACGGTACACAATACGCGATCCTTTAAATAAAACCAAACCACGTCATATGGGAGCCTTCTATAAATATTGGAAAAGGTCAGAATACAGGCCGTCGTGTGTCTCTCTACCTTGCATAACAAACAGTAGCAGCATGTGATTTCATGTGCTTCACTTGTGACCGAAGATGTGAACATGAAGGGCTAGGGGTGGGTGGTTCGGAGGGCTGAGGCTCGCACGTCGACAATGTTCGGCACTAATCATCAGCACTTAGAGAGTGGGGTGTTTGCTTCCCTTCATAATTTCCTGCAGAAGGTGAATCAAGCCTTTCCCTCCGGATACTGCATTGAAAATGATACCCTCCCACTACTGGGAGCAAAATGGCAATACTTTCTTGAAATAATCTCTTAAGATACACGTATTAAGCTATATCACCCCAACTAATCTGGACTAATTCTTGTAACAAATGAAGTTTGTCGCAGGTGTTTCCTTTTTGTCCCCATCAAAATGTGCAGCCTCCCACTGCAGACAAAAGTGCGCACATACGATGGGTTAGTTCTACTGCGAAGAAATATTCTCGATGACGGAACAAAAGGGAGCTGGAATTCAGCACCAACCAACTTCGAAACGGCTTTGAGGTACGCAGACTTTCAACATGTAATATGTATTTTGCACACGATAGGCCTCATTTCAAATAAACCATGAAATGCCACATGATTTCTATATACAATCAGTTACCCAAAGGTTGACTGTTTGGTATCATCAATACCTGTGTTTTTCCCAACTTTGGCTAAAGAAGTTTAAAAAATCGCAAAACACTAAGACGCTGTAAGACGACGACATGTACCTGTATCCAAAACGTATCTGCCAAAACATATCTTCTCAAAAGATAAATGAAGAATTGAAAAAAAAATAATAAAAATAATAAAACACTAACAACAAAACATGAATAAGACATTTTTACACAATGCAACACAGGCAATTCATCCTGTTTTGAATGAAATTAAAAACAGCACCACGAAAAAAAACATTATACAAAAAAAACCCACGCTGGTTTCCTTTCACTCAATTTTCTGATAATGCCCAACGCCCATGAACTGCATTTCTTAAATACATGTACACTTACATGCACAGGTAGCTCACTGAAATTTTACCATTAAATGAACCTATAAGGTACACCAGCAGTTTTTTTTCCCCCGACATGATACTTCATGACATGCATCGGCCAATGCCTGGTACACGCGAACTAGAAACAGAGGAGGTGCTAGCTTCAGGCGGGGGACGACATGAACAAATTCCTTCCTCCGATTTTTCAGGGTTGAAAAGCATAAACAGACTTGTCGAGGCATTAACAAAATATGCACCAGTATGTTCAATCACAACACATACCGGTAGCACGTTGATGATGCAACATACAAGTACCGCCACACAGAGGTTTACTCACACACTCTATGAGACGAGTCAGTGCTGCCCAGTATGTGTTATTACATGCATTTCTGGGCAAACTAGTCCACAAATACTTCAAATGAGCCGCCAGGGAGATTAGTTCAAACCAATTTCTGAAAGATTTCTGAAAGCTCTTACACAAGGAGGTGTCCTGCATGTCTCCTTCAAACTACTTTACATAGGCCCCAAGTGGGAGCAACAGACGATGCACTATTACTAGCAATGGAGTCTCCTTTGGTGGGAACTGCTCTTTGCTGGTTCCCGAACAACGACGAAATGAAAGCGTTGCAGTCCCATCATTAACAACAAACTGAACATTCCCTACAAACATGGCTCTCTTCAACCGGTGAAGGGGTGCTTCTGCTCAGGGCTGATAGGGTGATGACTGAATTGCATTACTGTTCCTTCTAACAACTTTCAACAACATACATGTATACACAGTTTGCCAGAGGGACTGGCCTCCTCTTAAGGACAGAGATGCTTCAAAGACATCTCGGCATCTACCTGTATTTGTTAGATGCCCAGGTTGTAATGTTCCGAATATTTTTCTCGAACTTGCAAATTGAGGCCCATCTTCAAGATACCTACAGGATTACGTAGGAGACAAACTGAGGGTGATCTACCCATTACTCCCATTATCCTTCCAGCAACAGCAACATTTAATATTCGAAACTGAAATTTATTTTCCAACAGAACTGACGTGTCCACATCCATGGAAACTTCTGGCGATGATTAAATGCCGGGAAGAATAACTCCTCTTTCCTAAAAAAATATATTAATAACCCTCAACTGGAAGCATGAATCTCACCGTAACAATGACAAATTCTAAACCTCAACTGTACAAGTAGCTATGAAGGTAGATCTGAATCACTTTTGCATCTTGATTCCAATGCCTATGTAGTTAAGTGACTGAATCAAGGCATCTATATGTAGTTCCTGAAGCAGTTATTACAGTGGCTGCTGCAGTATCTCTTATAAAGAACGTTGAATAAAAGCCCATGAAAGCCTCTTTATTCCCACACAAACCATGCTGTTTATGCGTAAATTAAGATTTGAAAATCAGACTTATCAAAGTAAATGAACAACACGCTTGACATTTTTCTTAAGGGAAAAAAGCTTATTATTCTCCCTTGAGAACACTCTCAAAAGATCATTCAGGAAAACCTATGAAAAATTCATCATCAGTGATTTCCAAATCTGCACTTTTGAATTATTTATTCAACATCTTTATGATTAATTCAGTACCTGTTACAGTAGCGCTACACAAACCTTGTTGCCAATAACATCATCAGCCAGTAGCAATGTTGCTTTTTTTTCCCAAGTTTATACAGCAAAGTCTCTGTCCAACTGCAGGGGAGGGGAGGTGGGTGTAAGCCCTTAGACATGTACTAGCTGTCGCTGTTGAGGTTAGAGTCTGGCACAGGCTTGAAGTTCAGGCGGTAAAGGCCTGTCAAGGTACAGAAGACAAGGAAGACAAATGAAAACTTTTGCACTGCAAAGGGGGAAGGTGAGGACAGTTGAACAAACACAATGCACAAATGTTGGCTAGTCAAGGCTTCTCATGTTGGGACAGGCTGCAATGGTACGTAAAAACCCTAATGCAAATCTCTGTAGATGTTTTGAGAGGCCAGTCATCCGAAGGTATGGACATTGCTCTGGAACTGCTGTAGTCCAGTCTTTAACAAGCCACCAATTCTTCAGGGTGCTTTTCAAATGAACCATGGTAAAGGTTGCCACTGTAAATCCTGCTACAGGTGAGTGGCCTTTATAATTGGGCTCATGACTTGACTTGAGAGAAGACTTGTGACTGGTCTTTTCAGGGACTCCATTACAGGTCTTCTAATGGATAGCTTGATGTACATGTACCTTGGTAAAGTAGAACATGGCTTCCAATTATACATGTACCTGTACCTGCTGGCCCTACCCTAAATAAGAAGAATCTGAAGATGCTTTTACAGTACGTACTTTTCTTCTTCAGGGAATACGGAGCATTGCTGAGGTATTTCTATTCTAATGTACCAGGTAGCCCCACAAGGTACATGCGTATCTAGTACATTCAAACACGTATGATGGTGATGTTGGGGAATTCAACATGGCTTTACTATTGTCAACAGACTGACGCTAACAGTTGACTTACTGTTTTGAGTGATGGATTCCATGGACAGCTGTTGGCATTCAGCTGGTCGGTGACCTACTCCACCACAGTTGTAGCATGTTCGTTTCTTACCTCCTTGCCCAGTGTGGGATCCATGATTGTTCCTGTGCCCATAACCCATGCCGCCCATGTACATCTGCCCATGAGGCATCAGTCCAAACTGGCTATTGCCTCCATATGCCATCTCGCTGGGGACATTCTGGAAGGGCAGCATGGGTCCCGGGAACCTGGGGCTACCGGGGATGGGCGGTGGCATCACGCTGCTGGGAGGGGGCATCCCGGGCAGGTTACTGGGGAAGAAGTTGGGAATGTTCTGATAGGCAACTTGGCCAGAAGGGTAGGCGCCCTGCAACGGGAGGTGGTGGACAGGGCCATGGTGCATGCCAGAGGTCCCACACTGACCACTGCAGCCACAGGATGTACATCCCGGGTTGCCCACAGAGTAACCCCCTTGGTTGTTGCTATTGTACATCATGCTGTTGGAGATACTGTCGTAGATGTTGCTGTTGGCCAGGTTAATGGACGGGCTCTGTGCCATGCTGGTCACGTAGGTCACGGAGGTCGGTGCCTGATACTGCTCCCCGCCATGCCGCATGCCAAACGTCACGGGAGCATTATGGGGAGCGAAGCCTGCTCTTGACCCTGGGAAGTTGGGGTTGACTGGGCTGGGCAGAATTCGCGGGGTGGTGGCACCAGATGCTGTCGGGGCCGGCCCCTCATTCCGGGCAGTTAGCGGTAAGGATGAGGGTACAGAGAGACCGGGAGAAACAGTGGAAGTGGGGACAACATCGGGTACAACTATGGACGGCATCTTAAAAATGCTGGAGTCGGCGCACTCAATGGAGTACTGGATACCTGGTATACTTGGCTGCTGCTGTTGTGCTGAAGGCTGCTGCTGCTGCTGTTGCTGCTTGATGCCCACAACCTGGGGTGGAATGTTTGCCCCTATGTCCATCTGGTTGTGGGAAGGCAGCGGCGGAGGCATGTTGGGAGGCGGGACTCCCATCATGTTTAAATCACCAAGATGGGAGACCACCTGCAACTGCGGTCTTGCCAAGGTCGCGCCCGGCCCACCACCCCCACCCCCACTGCTCGTGTGAGAGCCACTGCCCACCTTGACCGAAGAAGTAGCCATCTCGACTGTTGGCACCGGCGTGAGGCGGCAGTCTGACTGCCGCTGATTGCTGTCTATGAGCCGCCTCAGGTCCACTGATCCCATGGGCAGTTGGTCCACATTGGGGGAGGGGCCCACAGCACCGTAGTTGTAATTCACGCCAACAGCTGGGTTGGAGAGAGGGGAGCCCGGTACAGCCTGGGAGTTAGCCTGGGGGCTGTTCTGGGGGTTCCCTGGAGGCAAATTTCCCTGGGGTTTCAGGAGAGTACTCATCTGGGGCTGGCCATATTGGTTAACCTGCGGGGTAGCTGCCCGAAAGCTGTTGTTATCTTGAGCTGTCAGCTGTTGCTCTGGCTTCTGCTGGTTATTAGAATCTCGGTTGACACCAGCCATAGACCGGGCATCTGGTGAAGACATCACAGACCCCTCGCTACCCTCAGATTCTGCAAGCAGAATTCAAAACAAAGTTTACCCAAACTGGTTGAAAAATGAACTTAAAATCCAGCCATCTACACAAGAAACCAGGATGACTACACCTCATATTGTAGACATCTCAAGTCAGACAGGATATGGAACAAAATCAGTGTAACAAATGCCAATGGTAATATTTCTTTAATAATGAAGGGAATCTGAAGTCAAAAATCTCTAACAAATGCACCTTTAGGAAATTTCCTTTTTGTTCTTCTGTATGGGATCAACACACGTTTTAGAATATCTGATGCGAAAAAGGAAAAATCTATCAAAACACAGTTACACAATCTCTCAATAATGGAGTTGAATCTATTGTAAGTCCTTTCACGAGACCACTCACAAGTTGTAAGATAAACAAGGAAAACTTTTGTCCCGGTTCATTTCAGATAGTTTGTGAATTGACTTGCAACTGGATGGCATGATGGACTTGCAAGAACCAGTGAAGGACTTGACAACCCTCTGCACACTTCTTTATTACAAAAATTTGCTGATTCTGTGGATAGCGCCAACCACGGAGTAACCCTTCTTACCTCTCTCATTTTCGTCAGAGCTCTCCCTGGGACTGGAGGAGGAGCTGGATCCCTCTGACCCTGTCCCCTCGCCGCCTACACCGGGGCTGGCATACATCTGCGACAGCATGGCAGAGCTGAGGGGAGGGTAGACCTGGCCGTGGTAGTAGTAGGAAGGGGGCGGTGTGTGGGCCATAATTTGTGACATGCCATTCAGGCCAGTTAGCCCTTTCTGCCTGTGGGAGGAGAAGAAAAAAGAAAAGGTCATACACAATGGAGAAATCTTTTGAGAGGAGAGGTGGCCTACAGAGGAAGCAGTTGACTAGGCTACCGTCTTACCGGTCATTTGCATGGGTCCCTCTCAATGGTTGCAATCTATATGACAACTATTCCACGAATTCGTTCAAATCACAGCAGAAATCTGCCAACACATACTGGTAACAAAACATTTCTGTCAGCTAAGCCCTAATTCACAGAACTTGTGAGCACCAAATGCTTTTTCAGCAAATTCACACATTACTTCACCAACAGGCAAGTGGTTATAAACAGAACATAGGTATCCAACATATTGGCTAACCTGTTTGGGCATTACTACATGTATTTAAAAGCATGCTATGCGAGTTGTGATCAAGGAAACACATCCTCAAAGCACAGAACACGAAGAAAAAGCCATAACAAAGAAGAGATGTGCAGTGTTGCAAATGCTAAATACGTGTACCTCAACGTCCTGGATATACAGTGTATAAAATGAGGCAAATGTTAAATGACAGTCACTAACCCTAACCCTCCTCAATCCTTCACCTGTTGGAGGATTGAGGAGGGTTAGGGTTAAAGAAGCAATTTTGCCATTCTGGTTTAACACTCCTTGAGTTACTTGTTACATGCATGTCTTTCTTAACCTAAATTCGAGTGGTTGTAGCAGTCACAGCCATTACTGACACTGTCATCAGGAATGACAAGACCTGCTAAACACTTACCTCAGCTGCTCTAGCTGTGACTTGATCCTGCCCTTAGCTCCTTGCACTATGTCCCAGGAATCCACTTCTTTGTCACTCAGTTGCAGCACCTGAACAGCCACAGAGAAAACAATTGCAGTCATTATGATATCTATCACTACATGACAACTGCATATATTCAATGCCATCAGTTGTGTGCGTGTAGGTGCGCTAACCTTACATACCTAGTGTGGACTTATGAAAAAAAGATGTCCACACAGTGTGGGGAAAGGAAGACATTCTGTGGACTTTCACATGTCCACAGGACGTTTCCCCTTCTCTGAAAAAGAAGTTTAGGGGCATTTTGGGGTTGGGGTCATCGGTCATAAAAGGAAGAGGAATAGTCAAGAAAACAAAAAAGCCAGCCGAAAATCGTGTTCCCAGTTCAAGAAAAACAAGTATTTTCATTGAGGAATGTCCACACTAGGTATGTAAGGTAAGTGTGGGTGTACATGTGTGCACAGCGTGCAGAAGTTCTACATGCACACCCCCACGTACGTTAATCGAAATATCTTCGTAATACAGTGCAGCCAATGTTTGAAGTCCAATCGTCATTTGACATTATTCGAGAGTGACCTGTACATGTACTTCTTATTATTCTACCTCGAGGCTTCCCAAATTTGTTCAGGCCTCATTTAAAACTCTGAAACAATGAGATGTTTAAAAGGAGGTCTAGGCAGAGCAAGTCACTTTCTTGAACTGTCACACTTTACAGCTGTATGAAGCTCAGTAAGCTGCTCACACCATCCTTACATTTGCACAGACCTCTAAAATGCTGTTTTAATGCAAAAACTATGAGGTGACAATGTAGTCTGCTATACACTTCTGAGACCAAAAATACCAAAAGGCCCAAAGAACACAAAATTTTGCACCTAATATAAAAACTAATAAATTAATATTGAGCCATCTTTGCCTTCTTCAGCAATTAAGCTGCTATCTCATCTCGATTCTACTCATTTTCCTAATAATGAATCCAAAATTACCACATCTCATAGACATTGATGATCAATAGCCAAAATTAAAACACAAATATCAACTGGATTATTTTAAGTGAGTATAACTCTGATTTCAGTCACCCTTGGTGGTGTTGTTCTGCATTAACATAAGAAATGGTCATAAATGTAAGTTGATTGAGATTGCACAACATGGTCGCACCTGTTCAAAAGATTTCCACTCGAAGAACTTGGTATACTTATGGAGCCTCTGTTTCTTCAACCACTCGTGGATCAAGGGATCTACGTTGTCCCTGGAGAGCTGGCCATAGTAAGACCGGACCATGCTGCTGATGGGCTGGGCCAAGCTGCTGTTAGGCGGAGCCGGCCAGGGACGACTGCCTGGCGATGGGGCATTCTGGGAGGTCGGGGCCTGGGAGTGACTCGGGGACAGAGAGACTGATGAATGGGCAGAGTTGGGCATCAGGCTGGCTGTGTATGTGGGCAGGACAGGCTTGGACATGGGAGGGTTCTGCACATATGCAGAGCTGCCATCCAAAATCAAAACCAGCGAGTTTAATACAGACATTAATACATGTATCAATATGCGCATGTCATTCTGATTCTTATAAGTGTAGGGATACAGATTTTCTTTTGGTTAGCTTTGTCTCCGGGACAAAGCTTTATATTTAGCTCCACCTCATTTGCATAAAGCCTGAACCCGTATTCACATGTAAATTAGTTTAGTGTGTGCACACACACGGCAAGGCGCACTAATGTTTCGCGCGCTTTGCCATTTTCTCCAGCACCACTGGACATCGACTTTGTTGTCTTTTTAAAATGTAAGGCGTCCCTATTGGAGCCTGTCTCCAGAACCTGTGGTGAGTGATTTTCATTTTATTTCCTGTGTGACTTTTTGGGAGAATTGTATATTTTTACCGAAACTTTGGGAAATCCAATGGCGTGGCGTTGTCATAGACACCGCTGTGTGCATATTATGCATTGGTGTACTGTACATGGACAAAATGTGCGCACGATACCTGTACTGGGTTCAACGGTCACCTGTGCTATACGCGCACACCTTTTTTGATAACTATATTACTTTTTCTATTTGTTACTGGCTGAATGTATATGTAGAAGTCATCTGATCCCTGCACCTGGGCATTTTTCCTTGGGATATTTCTGAAGTTTCTCATTTGGGAATTTTGGGATTCGTCTTGGACATATTTCTGCCCGGGAATCATTTGGGGGAATTTTCAAGCTCAACCTGTTCATCATAATTGTACTTCATGAATGTGATTTCAAGGATTCCACATCGATTTCGCTTTGATTACTGAATAAATTCATCCATGATGCAACTAATCAAGATTTTCTATGGTTGACGGAATCATTGCCTGGTCGACTCGTACATGCATCCCAATCAACTGTGGGGTCAGCCCTGCTGGTTTTGACACCGCAGCCCCATTTCACTACACAAGCATAAAATAAAAAGTGCATCTTAATCTGCGGACACCAGTACCATAAATTTACCAGTGCCCATGCCTTCTTAACTGGGCAGGGGAATAAATCTGTGATGATGAATGAGTAAGGGGATTGGAGAATGACCAAATCCTAAAACTGCCAGGCAATGGACATTTGAAAAGCAGTAATCCAAGTTCAGAGACAAGCTGAGATCACTAAGTGAATCACTAAGTAAAAGCAGATTTTGCAAAAGTGCATTTTGATGGGCTGTTTAAGAGAGAGGAAAGTTATGTGTAACCATGGTAACTACAGCAGACTTTGTAAAAGGTTTTTTTTTCAATTTGTTGCCATGCACCAGAAGTACAAACACAAAAAAACCTGAATTAATCAGCTAACCCAAGAAAAGTCACCAGTCTGTCTGTTTAAACAAACTGTATGTACAACCCTGCTAAAATATTTGTGGAGTAAAATGTTGTGCAGCTTTTACAAGTCACTTAACCAAACTGAGACATGAAGTCTCTTAGTGGGTTTATCAGGTACACAACTCGAAATCATCAAAAGCACAAAAGGTGGTCTTTAGATTTGGCCAAAGCAAATGTAGACTACAATCCTGGCCAAAATGGTTGAGACCTGTCAGAAAAACCCTACCCCTCCCAAGGTCACCTGCTCACGGAGTCAATGTTAAGCCTCACAATGACAGACTAGATTGTGGGGAGGGGGGCAGCGAGATTTGGCCAGGATTGTAATATGGGTTGGCCAAGATGAATTGGGTGCAGGGTATGTTTCTTACGTGTTGTTTGGATGCTTAGTCTGTTCCTTGCTGGAAGTCGCCTTAAAGTGCTGTTGACTGGATCCTGCAAAGGAACACAAGTGCAATATTCAACGTGACTAAGGGAGCCCGGCGGACAGACTGATGCGTGAAAGCCTTTCAAAGGCTGAGCCAAGCTTCAGCCAAGCCTGGGCCAATGGACCTTCATAATCCCCAGCCAATCACAATAGACTGAGCTCCTATGAATAGACCTCTTAACGCTCTCTTCCCCAGCTCAGACTTGACTGGACGATCAGCCCTCTTTTATGTTCTTCCCAGCTGAGTGCATTCCAGTCTGACATGCATTTAACACTTGTCAAGTTTTTCATAAAGTCTGTGTTTGTTTTTTTTTTCTTCAGAATGTAGAATAAAGCTATACTGTACATATTTTTCAAGGTTGTGGATGAAAGAATTTAGAATAGTTCCGTATGGGCTACATATACCAATAGCACTGATAGCACTCAAGATACAGAGCTTAATTGAACTATACTGATGAAGGACAAAACCCAAAGGCAATATTCAAAGTTACTTGCACAACATTCTGCGAGCTACATGTACCTGTGCTGCCTGTCGTGGTGATGGGATCTGGAGAAAGATTCTGTACTGAGCCGATACTAGTCACAGTCTGATAGTACACAGAGCTGCTGCCAGCTGTCGTAGTGACCATGGATGACGTGACTGAAGTACCTTGTTGACAGACACCCAGACTGCTGCTGCTGCTGTTGCTGGAGTTGCTGACTGCTGCTGGGGGAATGTTGGGTGTTGACAGGTTTACCTGATGGTGCTGAGAGATGTGCATCTGGCTGACCAGGGCTGTCAGGTTGTGATGGCCAGGTGGCTGGGAAGGAGGTGGTGTTGGATCAGATTGGGTACGACGGGACGGCCCACTGTCTGTCTGCTGTTGAGGTTGGAGCTGTCGCAGAGGTTGCTGCTGTTGATGTTGCTGATTGGAGAACTTGCCAGACTGCTGGTGCATGACTTGGTTTGCTTTCGAGGTTGGCATGGAGTCCAGCTGGGCGTAATACTCCGGGTAGTGTGCTGGAACCGAATGTTGCTGCTGCATCTGAGAGGTTGCAGCTGGGTGTGACTGATTCTTAGAGGACTGTGCTCCCTGCTGCTGTTGACCAGGCTGGGGTTGGCCATGGTGCACGGACATGTCACCTTGTTGCTGCTGCAGTTGCTGCAGGTGAATTGACGGTGGCTGCTGCTGCAGGGGCTGGGGATGCTGCGAAAGTGACTGCACCATCAGTGGGGGAAGCGACGCTTGGGAATAGGGAGACTGCTGTTGCTGCCTCACCATCTGCCCATGGTAATGCTGCTGCTGTTGCTGCTGCAGGGAGTGGGTCATTAGTTGCTGCTGGTAGTGGAGATGAAGATGCTGCGGCTCCATGTCTGGCAGCAGCGGGTACTGCTGCTGTTGAAGTTGCAGCTGCTGCAGATGCTGCGGGAGTTGTTGATAGACTTGAGTTGGGCTGGTACTTGATTTCATTTCTGCAGTTCAAGAGATGCAGAAGAAAACGTCAATGAACAAAGAGTAATTATTGAAAATGGTTCAGATGTCAGGCAACTGCCCTTCTACACTGATTACTTCATTAACTCTCCTATGCAAAGACACATTCTCGACACAGTTGTCCTATCAGTCAAACCAGTCAAATTTCACATATGTCTGTGTACTGGGGGATATCAAGTGGAAGGAATTTCTTACTGTTTTTGACGGTTACAGCAAAAGGAGGGTTAAGGTGTGAAAAACTTCCAAGCTACCGGTACACATGTAGGATTTTCACCTTATCTGAAATGAAGTCTGGTATATTCACACTATTCACAAAGCTTTCGCAAACATCTATTGAAATAACCTTTTTTCAAGTGAGGAAAGACTGAAAAAAAAGATAATGTACAGTTTTACAAACGGACCAGACAGTCAACACGAAAAATGCAATATCCAGTAGAAAGTGACAAAAAACACTCAATATTGGCATAGCATTTTGGGACTTTTGAATCACTTTTTGCCAGTAGTCAACCTTCAATCCTATTATCCACAACGGCCATTTATGTATTTCCTGTGCCCCACTGTTTTGCCATTCTCAAGTCAATTTGTAACTTCTGATTATTTAAGCTGATGCCAATTTGAAAATCATGAATATGTTTGTCATTCCAGGAGGAAACTTCCTGTTACAGTTATTTTCGCACCGAGCTTCAACACCAGAAGTTTGCATAGTTTATTGTCTTAAACCTTGTTTTCTTCCTTGGTGATTCCTTGATCTGTTCATAAAAGTACGCTACAGTGCCGTACAAGTACTAGTAGTTGAGAAATGTTCCAGAAAGTCTTTCGATGAGCAAATGTTGCATTTACAAATTGAATTTGTTCATTTCTGTTCAAATTTTACATGTAATTAGCCCAAACGGGATGTCAAATAGTCTTCATTTAAGTGGAGAAGAAAGTTGCACAAAACACATGTATGTTCCCAATAATTCATCTCAGTGGCTCTTAAATGTACACGCATCTACATGTACAATGTCCACCATCTGTATATTAAACAATGAAAATGCTTCTCTGAGTTGTCCTCTCAAAGTTCCGGTACTGTAAATTTCAAGTCAAATTTCACAAAAGCCAAAATATCAATGACCACCACGTGAAAGAAACAAGACTTCCTATTTTACCCTGAAAAACAAGATACTGATTTCTTCGTCTATTCACACACAGACACCACCCCTCAGGCAGCAATGACATGTTGACTATTCAAACCATGTTTTTACCTTGCTTTATTCCCCATAAAATCTTCCTAATGCACACAAACAGCATCCTTGATAATACGCTCGAGTTTCTGGTCAGTTTTATCTCAGCGCCATCTGGCAAATGTATCAATACAACGAACAATAATACACTGTCTGAGTTGCACAGTACCGGTACAATCTCTTGGCAGCTTTCATTGCAGCTGTGAAATTAACATCAGGTGAAATTGCACTGAGGTAAAGATAACCAATCACATGCCCTTGTCCTTTTGGATGGATAGAAGGGCCCTTTCAATATTAGATGTATTCAAATAAAGATTCACAGCACAGAAATAGGAAACAACTTCTTGTGTCTCTTTGCCAAATGATGAGCTTTGAAAGTACTTTACAGGTACAGCATTTTTTCACACTTCTATGCACAGACCAATCTGAGTTCTGGGTCACTCTCAGTCCAGGTGTCCATGAAGAAAATATCCACGGTACATGCACATGAAGGTCTATTTCCCATGACAGTCTATTTGGGAACATCAAATCTTGAAATGTGACACCCAAGACATGCACTGGTTCATGTACTGGTACTTAGAAGGAGCAGGGTCTTACATGTAGCTGCTGCTGGCTGTGTCCAGACAAACTGGCTCAGCCTAGGGGTAATGCATGAGTCCATGGGAATTACATGTAGCTCCAACCACAAGCTTGTGGCTTCTCGGGAACACATGTTGTTTCGGGTCAAGGCAACACAATTCAGACATTGTCTCACAGCACCGTACAACATGCATGTACATATACAGTACATGTACTCCAGTTTCCAGCAATCAAAACAGGACCCTTCTCATAACCAGCCCATGAACGATACATGTACATACGTCTACCTTTATCTGACGCTGTCGGGTTCATCTGGCCGGCCATCTTGCCAGCCTCAATGGCCGACATCTCGGAACTTTCAGAGGACCGGAAGAAGTTACAGGTAAGCTCACATTGGAGGATGTGTTGTGGTAAGGCAGACAGTTGCCTGAAAGAGAAAAACCATACAAAGAGTCACATTTGAATTACAACAATTTATTTGGTAATGAAAACATAAGATGAACAAACTGGACCTTGAACTCATCCACCTGTAAGAACCATGAATTTCTTTGCAAATTCATACATGTACAGGTACCAGTACACATGTTACATGTAAAGGTGTAAATCTGGCATTTAAGTTTGTATTTTATGTTATTGTTCTCTTTAAGATCACATTTGCCAACAAAGGGATAAGGCATTCAAACACCTGTCCCTGCATCCTCTCCTGGGCCACGCAAGACACACTGTACCTGTACATGTATCCACGTAAATTTGGTGCACGAACACTTGGTGCCCCTTGGAAGTACATGTACATATACATATGTACATTTGTTCCTTGCACAGTGACTTGTTTTGGCCGGATAGGCTTTGTAAAGTATAAGATTTTCCTCTCTTTTTTCTTGAAACCTACATGTACATGTACAGTGTGCATAATGCAAACTGTAACCCCCCCCCCACACATACACAAATGTAGCAATTTTGATCTCAGTGTACTGCCTACAGCACATTTCCTTGAAGTCCACCTGTGCTTTCACAGTCTGTACATGTGTACTTCATGCGAAAACAGAAAGGCAAGTTCACTTAAAAACAGGACCTTGTAGGCACATAGTGGAGGCATATTAGACTTGTATGAATTAATACTGCCACATCCTCTTGTTGAAAGATGTTGGTAAAAGGTCTCCACAAGAGGAAATGCTGTAATCAGACAAGAAATTGTGCGCTGTGATGACAAGGATGGCCTATAACAGGTACCGGTAATACGTGACCGGTACATGTATATATACTAAAAGTAGACAGAAGGGCATTAGGCACTCTCTTAGCCACATTTCAAAGGAGCTTACTCCAATTATTACAGTTTCATCTCCTCGGTTTAGTCTTTGCTCATTTTTCCTTTCTAAAGACACATGTGTACCTTCTTTCTTTTCTCTTGGACATGGAGAGAAATGGGAGATCTTTTTGCGAACTGAATTCTGAAAACTAAAAAATTGTTTCCTGTTGCGTTGTACATGTAAGTAAGTTACCATTGGTAAGTTACTGTTGGTAAGTTACCATTGGTAAGTTACCATTGGTAAGTTACCGTGTGAATTGTTTTAAATTGGCTTTCGTCTTATTTGTTACTTTGTTTTCACAATACATATCGTGATAAGTATCGTATTGTGACAAAGTGGTATCGTCATACCCCTACTGAGGCACTGCCAGGGAGTAGCATTAGCCACAAAGACAGACCTTTGCAAAGTGGTCAAGTGAGAGTTCCACATGTAATCTATGTGTACTGTACTTCCACAGAATGCTGGACATGTGTGTTGGCTACCCCTGCAAATACATGTGCTGTACATGTGTGTTCAAAGTGAAATGTACATGTACCTTGCTGCCCTATCTGTATTGCCCAATAATTCATGTACTTCCATATCTGCCAGTGGGCCCTGGTCATATTTTTGGCCTTACTGTCGAAGTGCTGCTTGCCAATTTTTCCCACATTCTGCAAGGTTTAAGGTAATTATGTAAATCATGATATTTATGTACAAAATAAAATCATACCAACAGCACATTTTCTGACCTTATACAATTGGCCACACGTACAATGTATTTCAGCCAACAGACACTGTTTTTTTATGTACATACACATGTACAATGTGTGATCAACATCTACATGTAGCCACGCTAGCGGTTCATCACAGCTGACGTCGAAGTCTGTTGCCCTTGTAAATTATTTCTACCCCATAGCAGCATCTTCCATGCGTGAAATTACTAACTGGATCCACACTGCAAAAATAAAAACCAACGTACCATACCCTGCCCTAAAGAGTGACCCTCTAATACCAACACAGTGAGAAGCATTAGCATCAAGGGCAATACTTCCCACGATTTATGGTCGTCTTTGAGGGTGGACTGTTAATGTACAATGCAGGCCTGAGTGCCTTCTCTCGGGGACTTACTTGGCATACTCGGCAATCTCTGGGAGCATCCTTTCCGCCAGTTCTCCCTTGTGGGCTGAGCTGAAGTTCCTCTTCCCTGCTTGAATGGACGGGAGTGAGGAGAAAAGTCCAAAGTAGAGAGAAATATGAGACAGTAGAAGAACAATTAGAAGTCAGGGTGAAGTAATGCTTAGTAATATTTTGCATACATTGAAGCTTCCAACATACATGTATACACACTGCAGTAGTGAAACTGCGCGCAAGCATGTACCATACATGTACACTTTATGTACAAAACACGGTCTCGCTAGCAAACCATACAATACATGCCTATATAGTACTTGTATGTGTACATACATGTAGTCTGAATACACATGTACATGTGCATGGAGTACAGTACAAATGCCTGCATATGACGGGGATGGTCAGTCAATAATTGATTCCATGTAAAAAGCCTTTCTCATAAGATTCATTCAGGGTAACACCTTTTTCCCTCAGGATGCACATACATGTACATGTACATGTACATTACAGTTTGTCAAAAAAGTTATTACATACATGTATGTACTGGTACATGTACATGTACTCAATGTAGAGGTACCGATACACATGTACATGTATATTCGTGCACATCGACATGTACATGTAATGAATGTACATGTACAGGTACAGTGTATACATGTACATTTACATGTACATACGGACATGTGTTACGTGGACAGCAGCAAGCTGTCCTATCATTTTTGCACAACTCAAAAAGATTTTTTTTTCTCCCAAACATGCTTAAAGACTTATGGACTACATGAAGAACATGTACATGTACATGCCATACATGTACAATATACCATACATGTACATGTACAGTGTACCGATAATTTAAAGTATTTAATCAATGCATTTCTCCTTACATACTCGTACACATTAAAGTACATACTGTCTGATCACTCCAGGCCTCCAAACATAATTTTTTTTAACTGCTTGTCCATCAGGCAAGTTGCACTGAAAATTTACTTGCCTGAGTAAGATTTTACTTGCCCAAACGCCAACAATACGACATGAATATACATACATACATGTACGTACCCCAAACTGTTGCATATGTAAAAAGAGTGCGCAAGACTACATGTATGATGCATCATTCACACAAGCTCAGGCAAGTGATATATTTCTTAACCACTCGACAATTTTGCCCTGTGTCAAGCAAAATGAGTACACACCAAATTCACTATGAAGTCACAGCTGCATGTAAAAAAGTCTTTAAACTTCCGGTCATCAAAGCTCCCCTGCAATGCTCATGCAATAACCAAAGGGGTTTGGTACCCAGACACAAGGGCATTTTACAGTTACATGTAATACATGTATGTGTACACATTTTCCCTTTTGTGGAAAGGTGCCCTGCTAAATATACAGCGTGCTTTATACAAAAGTTTGTACTGATGCAAAAAATCATTGTACACCACATACATGTACTACTAACTGTTTATTTTTTACCACTTTTTATACAGTACATGTAAGAAACAAATCAAAGGTACCGATAAATTTGCTGACAGCGATTCCTGGCCACGAAAAACGGACACTTTTATTTCAAGAAAAAAGTACCTGTCTGTCAGGCAACTGTCCTTAATTTTTTACTTGCTGGAAAGAAGAAATTACAAGTCCTGGGCAATCGGACAACCTTTAATGTCTGGCCTGTAAGGCCTGGATCACTCAGAACCCTGTACATGGAATTCATCCACAAAGTTGCATGGATGCAGACGTACATGTACATGTACCGGTAAGCAAGTTTATGCTAGTATTTTAAAACTCTTACATTTCTGTTGAAAATGATGATAATATCATGCAATCCAAGACTACTGGTAAATAAATAAAGCAAAAGAGGGACAAAAGAAACAAAGAACCTCCCCCACTTGACCCCTTATGATAAAGACTCACCAGGTAAGCATGGGATAACTCGGTCTTGATACTTCTGCTCTCGTGCCTCTTCTGGGAAGAGCTTGGTCAACTACATGAAAAACAAGAACAAACACATGGGTAATCCTTGCTAGGGATGATTCCATGCACAGTGTACACGTACATGTAATTCTGTCTGAACAATTGAAAATGGCAAGGTTGTCATGACACACAGCATACAGTAGGCCTACGGTACATGTACATGTCTCCATAAAAAAATTGCATCTTTCACATTCAAAGTACCGGTATGCTGTTTTTCACAGCCTACACTGTTCATGTTCAATGATTAAGTGCATTACTACATACTTGTACATGCACATGTATGGTATTTCAACTGCACAGTATGTTCACATTTTAGATGAATGTCTATACATGTACATGTATGAGTAGAAACATTATAAAGGCAGTGTGGGAGAATGTCAGGATAGAGCCACTGTCTGATCACAATCCACTTACCGGTATGTTCTGTGGTTATTTGAGAGAGGCCAACAAGTTGAGACAAAACCTTAAATGACAACTGTACAGTCTAATCCTCCGTACAGCCTACAAACTGGACCAATGTACATGTATGGACCCCAGCTTTCCCCACGGCACACCCATATTACATGAAGAACCCACACACAATGAAATTAAAATCCATGTTTTATTTCGGTTTAATATCACGATGCAATGGATAGGGGCCTACAACATGCTGACATGTTTACATGAAATAAGTATTGGAATCTACAATGTGAGAGGGATACCTTTGTACAGTTGTACATGAACATGTTCTGATACCTGTATGGTCTAGTGTGTACTGCGTACATGAACAGGGTACACGTACATGTATATGTATGCAACATAAAGGGTACCATGTACATGTACATCCGTGTGCATACCCAAAGATGCCCATCCCGTCTGAGCTCTTCTGTACTTACATGTACTAAGTACCAGCTTTTGAAGTGCTTTGTGTTATAAATGCATTGTATGGTACATGTCTGTACATGTATGTGCATTGTATACAGCATGCATATACGTGTAGTGCTAGCACAAGTCACACATGTACGCATTCTGGAACAAAATGTATAATAATGCACGGTCCCCCAACTGGGCCCTTCCCAACTACAGTTGGGCCCGTCCCAACTACAGTTGGACCCATCCCAACTGGAGTGCTATAGTCGGCCGGCCCAACTACAGCAGAGGTCCAATGCGCCTGTGCCCAGCATGTGCCAAAGTCATATGTTTACAATGTTACGTAATAGATGAAGTGTCATATTTCAGATGAATTGTGTCAAGTGTGAGATGCATGAACTTAGATAAGGTTGAGAAATTTTCAACAGAAATTTGTCAATATAAGTTGGGCCAGCCCAACTGCAGCACTATACATGGAGTTGGGACTGTCCCAACTATAGCTGGGACAGACGCTATAGTTGGGGCATAACAGTGGTAAAGCTGAAACTACCGGTATATGATGTACATGTACATGTACGTATATGTACAGTATCAATGAGGCGATTACCAGAGTACCAGTACATACGGGTGTACATACATGTATCGATGAGGTGATTACCAGTGTGACGGTACATGGACATACACGTACATGAACAAGTATCAATGAGGCAATTACCGGAGTACCAGTACAAACAGGTGTACCAGTATATGTATACATGTACATGTCTTTTGTCAACACTGACAGATGTCTATGATATTTTCAATTTTTACACAAGACAAGTACAGTAATGTAATACCCTGCATGTACAGTGTACATACATGTACCTGTATTCCCAAGGGGATCCCTGACACACACGCGAACAAAAAGTTACATTGTGAGTAAATGTACATGTGGTAAAGCTACAGTGCGTGTGTACATGTACACTGTATCTGAACTCTTAACAGTTCACTACACCTGTACATTTGGTTTTAATTTACTCTTTTAATAAGATTTTTACACACAGGTACATGTACATGTAGCAATAGAGGCTTTGCCTCAGGTGCCATTTGCCCCCTCTGGTGTCCGTACACAACCCATGGACCCCTACACAGCAGGCAACAATTAATAATGTATCCCTTGCATGACTGGAGACTCAAAAAAATTGAAAGCAAAATTTGAGTTGGCTAGATACATGTACATGTACCTGTGACCCTTATAAATTTTCAGTATGTCTAAATGAAAATAAAAATACTCAAAAATGACTTGCATGTACATGTACATGTAAATGTGTTTTTATTATATTTTGTCCTAAAATTTGTGACTCAAATTGACTTGAGCTCGGTACTTGACTCAACTTGACTACACAAAGTGACATGACTCGAATTCTTCGCCTGATGACTTGATCCAAGTCACAATGTTAAAATGACTCGACTTGACTTGAGTCACCAAATTTAGTGACTCATTTAAAAACTGACATGTACACATGCAATGGGGGAGGGGAGCTGACCTCGGAACCTGGAAAATGATGTACATGTACGTACATGTACATCTATGTAAATCACCCAAATTTGAACTTTTCCAACCAACTTTTTCTTTTGAAGATGCCAGATGAAGGAATTTCTTGTGAATTACAAAATTAAAATGTACAGTAAAATGTTCATGTACGTGAACATGATGAACATGAGCAATTTCTAACTTCTATTGTTACAGCACTGTACGTGTACGCCTACACGTAGATTACTTATTGCAATCTAAGGTTTCAGATTCAATGAAGCTACAGCTAGCAAGGTGCTGTGGTGCCTTGTTTGACACATGCTTCGTGTCATGTGAATGTACCATGTATGGTCCAAGATCTGAGCCCACAGGTGATCATTTGACTTTATTCTTCCATTATCATTTACATACCGGTAAATTATGTCGTAACTCTCCAGATTTTTTTTTCCCTTCGTTTTGGAAAATTCATTCAACTAGCATTTTTTGCTTTTTTTTTTTCAAGAGAAAAAAAAGGTCCAGAATCCATTTGCTAAGGTGTGGTCTGGTCCCCGTTCCCAATGCAGCAAATTGGCATGATTGGTGATGGGGGCATGTACAGTATACATGTACATGTAAGTAGGGATAACCAGTCTGTAGTGCCACATGTACATGTACATGCTGAGCCGTTATGTAAATGATTAGACTTGCAAGAAAGAATGTCCATGGCGCCACATTTACAGTATGTACTATGTACCAGTTGTGCACATGACAGAGCCTAAAAACATCCAAACATGTGTCATGCAGTATTCAGATAGATGCAAGACTGTACAATGTACATGTACACATGCATGTAGAACCTTGCCACTGTACATGTACATGTAGGTAAATCCCCTGACCACAGTTACATGTATATGTATACAGTGGCCCCCGTCAATGGTGGTAAACATCACAAGTTTCCCTAGTACTGTAGTGTGGGGCCACTCCTCGGTATTTAAAGGAGGCCTTTGTTAATATCCATTGTCGTACAGGTAGAGGTACCTCTGTCTTCAAGACCGTTTTTTTTTCATTGGCCCACAATGATCTCCTGACACGGTGACATCATAACAACCGCACTCACCATTAGACATAACATCAGCCATCATTGTACAGGTATGATACTGGACTGTGAGGACACAGATCAGACGTCAAATACATGTAAGGCTTACAATGTTGCATGTTTTGATTTCCTGTTACTATTTACCATTACATGTACGCTGTGCTTGTGTTTCAAAACAGTATACATGCACATGTACAATAGCAGTGAGCTACATGTATGTCCATGTAAGTTCCATCTTTCTAATGACCTTTGAAACATCCTCACAACTTGAGAAGTGGGGAGGGGGCGATTCTCAGGGGAATCACCTACAATGACTCTTCTTGAAATATAGTGTTTTAGTTGCAGTCCATGTACATGTATGTACCTTGTAATGAAAGTCCTGCATCTGGCCATGTGTCTTCCTGATGTTGGTGACAGTGCCATCCAACCAGTGAACCTGCAACATGCACACAGAAAGGAAGATTGGGGGGAAGACATATATATGTGAACAACTGACATGATCTATTCAGATTGGATGTCACTCCCCATTACTTCAGAAGGTCGCTGGAGCAGCATGTACAGTGTACATGTACATACAGGTACATGTAGGAGACAGACCTACATCTAACTTGCTGTATACAACTTTACAAACTGATAGGTATGTTTCAAGATACATGTACATGTGTGCCAATATTTCCAATGCATACTATAGTCATTGATTGCTCGTTAAAAAGAAAAGCCTCGGGATCTAATTGAAGTTGCTTCAGAGAAATGATGTTAATTTTCATTTTCAACTGCTTTATGTTCAAGAGGGACAAAACATTACTGTCCTTCAGAACCTTTCAAAATGAGGTCTGAAAAACATCACAAAGCTTTCAGAGGAAGGGGTAACTACCGCACAGGTACATCATACAAACAGCTTATCCTCGTTTCCCAGTGTTTTCATAGACTCTGGCTTACATGTAAGTTGTACTCACCACGAAGGTGTACTCATATCGCTTGTCTGATTGTCTTCTCGTTAGTCCCTTGCCCTCTATGTTACGGATGAACACTGAAAGACAAAAACAATATACAGGAAACATGTACATGTAAATAATTTATTATTATAGAACTTACTCATATTTCAGCTTTTTGTACATGAACACACGTGTTGGACTTAGCAGGCCTACACTAAGTACATTACAAATATTTACATGTACCCGTACATGTACCTACATGTATGTACATGTATATTGTACAAATACGTACATGTACATGTACATGTACTACACTGTATGTGAACGTGCACATGTGAATATGTGCATATGTGTTTCTTCTTCTTTCTTATCTCTTTCGTTTGAGAATAAAAATTGTGCATCAATACACATTGTACACGTATGTGTATGTCTGCCATGCAAAAACAACTGTTCTTTACATGCATGTACATGTGTCAGTACGTGTATACAATGTACCGATACATGTACTGACACATGTACATGTAGTTTCCATATTAGTTATCACAGGAGCGCAAGTGGAACACGGAATAATAAACATGTTTGGTACGAGTACCAGTACATGGTACACTTTCGCACAATGCACACGTATAATTAATCAACAGTTGTTGAAGTCAGTACAATTTCTCTTGGCACCTTTTAAAAACAGTGTTACACTGAAAGGATTTCCCTGGGTGAACAAGAAATAAATATCTCAACAAAAGAGTGACTGACTCTGAATGTGATTTTCATGGAACATGGAGAAACTTGCCTTGTTTGCAGGCAAAGGATCTTGGCAGATACTGCAATCCTAAAACCCTGAGTATGTACATGTACATTGTACTGTACAGTGTACATGTACTGCTACCGTACATGTACATGTACTGGTACCTGTGTGGAAGTATGGTACATGTACACGTACATGTATGTACTGTATTTGTATGCGATAAGCACATTCAAACATACTGTATCGTATGGGCCGTTTCTGGTACTCAAGACAACACTATCAGCAAAAAACTAAAGACCCATCAGCATGATCAGGGCCATCAACCATTTTTGAAAACCTACCCTTCATGGGAAAAGAGGAACAGTTACATGTACTTAACGTTGTACTGTACAAGTGTTGTACATGTACAAGTGAGGCACTTCTTTCTGCCCTTCAAAAATCCTCCACAAGAAATGCAGTTCCATTTTTATATGGCTTTGATAGGAATCTGGCAACATGGTCCCCTTGAGGATATTTTTACCACTGCACTTTATGAGTCATGTTTTGATTTTCTAATAATAGTCGGCCTCCAAGAATGCGACAAGCAAAGGTTTAGTAATTACCCTGATCCCCAAGGAAGCCCCAGAGATGAATAGAAGGGTTATTATTAGCACTTCTACATGTACATGTGCCAGTACACATACATGTACATTGTGTACGTGGGCTGAAATAATTGGGAGTACCAGATTCAGTGAACCTGTTCATTCTGGCAGCATTTACATGTACCGGTAACAAATTTAAAGCTTTGACTCCCACCGTTCTTTCTCACTGGAAATTTCAGTTTATAAGAACAATTTTATCGACCTGGTCGCAAAAGACCAACTGACAACAAACTCGTATTGAAATTGCCCCTGGAAACAGGAATGTCATAACATGCGGGAAATGTACATGTAAATGTACTTGACATGTGAACCTACACTGTACATGTACATACATGTACTATGCATGTCATAATGTACTGTACTGTACGCACATGTACAGTGTACCCGATATGTGTTGCAACTGTACATGTACAGTTGCACAATACGTCGTTTCTATGCGACCTCCTTCCCTGGGTGTCAAGCAGTGGGCCTTAACGGTGTACATCCCTTCTCACCCTGGTATTCACCCATCCCCATCAACCTAAAAGGCTTGAACCAGTAAGTACAGGTGCCACATACATGTATTGTACAGTGTACATCCAGATGCATGACATACATGTACATGTACATACATATGTGTAAGTTTTGTGGAGCACTCACTGGCCATTTATTTCAATAACACAGGTCAGCACTTCTGTGTCTGCATCACATGCTCCCTCAATATCCATGCACAGGTTAGGAAAGGGACCAACCCGCACTGCTCTGCACATCTGCTGCGATGCATATTGCCCTTCCCAGCATCCTGTAAAGCCAATACGCTGGCAAAGTGTTCCCGCACATTCCCTGGTAACGGGTGAAGCTTCATGTATTTTAAGTTAACAAGCAGATCGGCCATTAGAACATGTTGTGAACAAGTTTCCCTTAGTGGCAGGGCTAGTCGGTGAGCTGTTAATCTATGGAATGTTTTTGACCAGTCCACTATTACATGCACAGTACATGTACATTCTACATGTACATGTACTGGTCTAAAAAATCACCCACTGCTGTGAATCAGATTTGGTTAGAATACTTGTGAATTATTAGAGTTCCAAAACTGAAGAACATAAACATGCAATGCAGTACATTACATGTACATGTACCTGTGCCTGTACATTCACTTACTGTACTGTACATGTCGGTGCACAGAACAGTCAGTCCGATGGGTATCATACGGTATACAAGTATGTGCACACATACATGTACATGTATGCACGTACAGTACATGTATGTTGTACACGTATGTCCAATGTACTCATACATGTACATCAGTTGTACGTACCAGTATTTGGAAGTTTTGGACAATTTTTAGGGCAAGAGAAAAACACACATGTATCCACTTCCCCCCTATTATGGTGTGTCCATGTATTTATCACTCAGGTATTTTAAGACCTTTGTCAATCATTGCAAGCTTGAAATACAAAAAAATCCCACATCAAAACAACTGAACAAACAAACTGACAAAACAACTCATACGATAACTAATGCAACAGTGTCCTCAGCATACCTGGGTTGTCTGCATCTGGAGGACTGCAGTTTTTCTTGCTTTCGAGAGCAGTCCCAGAGTCATTGTGGCAGCTGGGACCTTCCTCTACGGTGTCACCAGAGTTTGATTCTGCAAGATTGGCCTGGGCCACAGTGGCTGCTGCAAGCACTTGACTAGAGGGCTCCTTCTGCTCACCAGTTATGATGCTGTTCACCCCATCATCACAGTCCTGTTTATCAACAGTCACAGAAACTGATCAACAGGTGAAGTTCTAGGCATTTTCTCCCCAATGCTCTGTGTACATACTGTGTGTGCTCCTAGCCAGTGCGCTAACCTTACATACCTAGTGTGAACTTGTGAACAAAAGATGTCCACACGATGCAGGAAAGACAGACGTTCTGTGGATTTGCACATGTCCAAAGGACATTTCCCCTCTCTGAAAAAGAAGTTTAGAGGCATTTTGGGGTTGGGGTCATTGGTCATAAAAGGAAGAGGAATAGTCAAGGAAACCTTGTACAAAAAGCCAGCTGAAAATCATGTTCCCAGTTCAAGAAAAACAAGTATTTTCGACAAGTTTTCTTAACTGCATGAAAAGAAAGGAATGTCCACACTAGGTATGTAAAGTAAATGTAAGTGCTTGTGTTTTGTTTTTTTGGGGTTTTTTTTCCTTGGGGGGGAGGAATACTGATTGCCCATCAGTACTTTTTGTCATGAGCGACTGTACATGTAATGTGCACGTAGCTTAAATGGATTGCATACACAAAAAGAACAAGTGCAAACAGAAGTCATTTGGTTGCACCCAATCAAGAGAAATATCGGAACAAATATGCCAGACGTCCCATTTCAATTTTACAAGTGGGTGAGACTGAGGTACACCGTAAACCATGGACATTATGCATGAATTTACTTACATGTACCTGTGTAATGGTACACATGTACGGGTACATTTTCTACATGTATTTTAATACGATTGGTTCAACTGTGCAGAACTTGAATGTGAGCCAAGTTGCCATCTCCAAACTGTAATCACTCCAATAAGTGGTACAAAGGATCCTATTTTTCAAACTAAATCCCTGGAAATGTACAGCTACATGTACATGTACCCATGTGTCCCATTCTACCAGATTTACAATTTTTGCTTTTCTTTCTGAAACGGCATGCTGACTGCACTGTACATGTATCTTTGAACCAAACACAACTGTTCATGAAAATATGGTCAGTTATTTTTTCTGACAAGAGTAATTGGTTCTCTGTACCTTCCAGTGATGAAGAAAGAGGTTCGGCAAAACCTTAGTATATCGCTGGTACTTTGCAAGGGATGCCCACCTGCAGACCCCATACAATGTCCATTTTGTTAAAAATATGGTCTTTTTAAAAGCGATACTAGTACATACATGTACATGTATACATCTGGGTTCAATTTCATGTCTAAATATGCTTCAGTATACATGTAGGTAAGCAAAAATCTATGATAACCACCACACCCATACCTGAAAATACAGTACTGAACAAACAACATAATTCATGGGTTGGCAGGGATGTCTGGGCAAAGTGCATACGTAAAATCCTGTAATGCTGTCCTTACTTGTTTTGTTCTGTTTGTTTGGTACTAGCACTGTTCAAACAGAATGTTGGTCATAAGCTTACGTGTACATGAAATGTCTTTGGTTAGCAGAGTGATGAAATAAGGCCCTGGTTAGAGCAAAACTGTACATGTATACAAAGTGAATGCAAGCTTCAGATTTCGGAAACATATTAGCTGTTCATTACGTAGTTTGAATTATATCAACTGTCCGTGTACACCGGCAGATACATGCACATGTACCGTAGTGCGTGATAACTAAGAAATAAAATAAATTATCCCCCCCCCCAAATAAATTACAGCAGTAAAAACTTGAGGAGTAATAAAGAAAGTAACTTATTCCCACAAAATAATTTGTCGCAGTAAAATTATAATTATAGTTCAATTATTTATACGGGGGACGACTTGACTAGGGGACGACATGACTCAAGGACGACTTGGCCAACATTCGGTGTCACTGGTTAGACATGCACATCACTTGTATACACAACATGCATTGCACAACATACAAGTAATGTACATGTCTGACCAATGGCACCAATGCAGAGGATGGGGCCACCACCCTAGCCTTACACACACGTTGTCTGATTAGACAAAAGGGCATGACATTGTCAATTTCCTTTACTGTCAAGAATTCGAACTAGTATAAATGAAAGTCATGAAAGTGAAAAATGAAAGTTTGAATTCGAGACAGTCTGTGCGGACTCGATTTAACTTTTCTCTACAAAAATGACAAACCACGCTCTGCCATTGTCCATGCAGCTGTGCCAAATTTGCAGAAAACACCGCCATTGACAATGTCTATTTTAAGACACTACCGCAAAGCAGGACACCCACCATCATGTTGGCTTAACTGTGATTCAAAACATTTTCAGTGTTACGTGTACACATGGTACAGACCAAGGGCCAAGCACTCACTTCAGAGGGTGCCGCAGCAATGCTTTCAACTGCTTGCAATAATGCGTAAAGCTGTGATCGTAGGGCCTGTTTCTCACTGAATGAGAATGCTGGATGGTTCAAAGCCATGACTGCAAGCAGGACGACTTTCTCATGGGTCTCTGAACATGGTTCCCCGGCTCCGTTCAAAATGGTGTCCGTATGCTCTTTCAGCGTTTTAAAGAGTACCCTTGCACCATCTTTGCAAGTTGAATACATAAGTGCCAGGCTCGTTAGTACTTTATCAAGTATCCGTATATCTGATATATTGGTTAACTTTGACAAATAGTTTACATTGTTGGCATGCAGTTCCATCTCGCGGAGACGGTCATAGTCTCGGCGGCCTAAATCCTCGATGTACGTTCCCAGAAACCGTAATTCCAGCGGACCACAGCAGTCCATCAGCGCACACAGAAACTCTATCCTTCGGCAGGCACTAAGATCGCGGAACCAGTTGATAACTTCCTTCTTACACACCATGATGATGAGCTCACTACTACTGTGGTTCTGGGCAGGAGAACGGCTAAAAAATCCACCGTCAGTCTGTGAGTTTTTCGTCGACTTTCTTCACCTGCCCGTCCGCCATTACTGTCTCGCCGGGAATCACCATCCGGGAACTACAATATAAATGGTAACGCCCAAATTTAGGGGTGTCCTCTTAGCGAGAGGAATGTTAGTGATAAATCCCGCCAAATAACCCATAAGAAACAACTGTGATGGTAATTCAAAAATAGTGGCATACATACAGAACACTTGATTAATTAAAACTATTAATCATCTTAACTAATCAGTAATTAAATATAGCACACGTAATTACCAGCACCCCCTTCTTGTGAAATTTACTGTCGTCCGGTGACTGACCTTTACTGTGTGTAAAATAATTGCTGACACGAAGATTTTACTACGTCCCAGTAACAGAGAATTTAGAAAATACAAATCAACGAAAACGACTTTATATGTTCAGAACAGAGAAGACAAAATTTGGTAAATGACTTATAAGTGTCTAGGCCTAGGACTGTACCACTGCGAGGGACTTTTGTTCCAGTAAGTTTTTCTTACGGCCGGAGATAGATTACAAGAGAGGGCGCTTTAAACACAATGTACTGCTTGCAATAGAGACTTGTGTCTGGGTCAGTCTCCGTTTCAAATTTCCCTTTAAATAGCTGTTTTGGCATGATTATTTATGCCATAACAGCTGGGCCAACGTTCTTTTGCCCTCTACTTTCTCAAAGTACACAAATGGGCGAAATTGTTAGGTCGTCAATCATTTTTTTCCCAATCAAATAGGCCTACGCAAACATTTCTGTGATTATACAACTTCATTTTTTCCACGGCCACCATAGTCCATAGCACTTTACATCTTGGTAAGTGTGATTGCCTTCAAACCTGGATTACGGTACCTAGACAACGTACCTTGACCAAAGATGGTGCGTGATTTCAATTCACCACGTCGCACGACACGATCACAACTTGAAGTTGGATATTATGCAGGAATACACGACAGCAGAGTTGAAACTTTGCTAAAACACCGTGCTTTGTTATAAATTATGAACAAAAGCACTTGCTCCGGACCGAATTAGTAACAGACAGCGCTCGTAATGAAAATAATACTAAAGTAATGGAATATATGCTTATCGTGGACCGATTTTTCCGACTGATACCTTTGGAGAGTCAATTATTATTACTGATTTCTAAAGGTTATGTCAGGTTATAGTGCCAGAAATCTCTGTGTGGTCACGTACTGTAGTCAGTACACAATAGGATTTTTAAATGGACGCCACTTTTAATTATATAGTTAACATCTCCTACCATTTTGTATGTATGTCTTGTTTGTTGTTCTTATTTCCCTAATTGTTTCATCTAATCAACATATTTTCAATTCATGTCAGGTACATTACCTTGAATGCTGTTGAAAGTGTCGTTTATACATGTCGGCCTACTAGTGTGACCTTGGATACAAGGTTGTGGATACTAAACTAAACTAAATACTGTATGCTATATGTATGTAATATGTAAGAAAACAGGCTACCTCTCCAAAAAGAAGTTTCTTCACAAAGACGACATCAGAAATTTTTGAATAGCTATGACGTAGGCCTACAGTATCTGCACAAAAAAGGAGAAAATTCTGAAATGAACAAGAACTGCTCTTTTGACGTCACAATGGGCGTGTCTTCCTACAGCTGCTAAAATATGGTTTTTCGTCAGTGCAAAAGTAAAAGAATAATTCACAAAGTGTTGTAATTCCCACGCAGCCATCAGAACACCCGACACTAAATCATATACATGTAAATGTGCAGCCTTATTTAAAATCAATGGGACAATTGTCCATTTTGAACCAATTGGAAACCGAAGACCAACAAAGGTGACATTTCTGCAAACTATAGCCACCCATGCCGGTTGTAGGCAAATGCACCGCAACACCAAGAGACCCAGAGTTATATACGTTACCGGTGTCAGAAAATTAATTGACGACTTGGTGAAACAAAGTTAGTTTTCTTTTCAGTATTAGAGAATAGCTAGGTTTACGCAACTGCGCTATTCAGCGCAGGCTTACGTAACACGTTTGTGTTTGGCAATTCGTTTCTTTCAATTCATTCTCGGTCGAGCAGCCAATACCTCGTCTTGCCCACCCTCCCCTCCCTATAACACGTGGTTTTTGTCACTCGGAGCAAGGGAGCGTGACATTCCTTCAACATCCCGGTCGCGCTCACGTTTCCTCCCCAATATTGCGGGTTTTTCGTGACCATGCACCAAGTACTAGTTCTCGCAATAGTCTAGTGTTGGTCGCCGAGTTGACGTTGCAAGTTTTACATGAAGGGAGCCTAGTGATTGGCGTTGGTTGATTATTTACTTCAACCCACCCTCTTGGGGAGCTCACATTTCATGTATTTTTTTTTTGCGTTTTTGTCGGGTGCAAGTTTGTGCCGACTTGATAATCGCCTCAATTTTGAAACGTTATAAGTCACGATTTTGACAGTTGGGGTTTTGGTGCCAAATGCACTACTGTTCGCCAGTTTTCTGGTTGTTTTATCATTCGGTTTTAGACGCACGGATAAAAAACGTTTCATGTGAAGAAGAATCTGGAAGTAGCAATTATCATTACGGTTGTTGCTTTTTGTAGCAAATTTGCTGGAGTTTGCTAGTTTTTCTTCTTTTTTTTCCTTCAGATTCTTGGAAGGAAACGATTGAAACCGTCATCAATCCCACTCTTTAATGTTTGGCCCAAGACCGCCCCCTACTCATTTCAGCCAGAGCTCAGTCCACAATTAAAACTTTAAAATCAGCCTGGCAGCATTTGGAATTGTAGGCAAGGACCAAGGCGACAGTTTCCGTGTTTCCCGTTCGCCCAATCGATCGATTTCTGCCTGTACCTGGCAACGATTTTACCGCCTGGTAACAAGTCCACCGCAGACACAGCTTCAGCAGTGAAGTGGGCACATGATATGGTAGGATTGTCATGGCCAATGACGACCCACTTGTCAAGCATTTTGGGATATAAGATACTTACGGCGTCCCCACCGAACCGCAAAAAGCCCGTGTTTCCGCATTTGATGGCTAAGCTTTTCGACGCCTATGGACACAAAGGTACACTAGTAGATCTGCGTTTGTTGTTCATTTGCTTCATCAGTTACGCTGGGTTTCTTCGCTTCAGTGACCTCAGTATAACGTTTCATGCAAAGACTGTACCTTGAGGCCCGACAGTCTCCTAATCCATCTAACTAAATAAAAAACCGACCGGTTTCGTCAAGGCGCAGACATTGTAATTGCCAGAACCCAGCTTCCAACATGTTCAGTCGCTATAGCTGAACAACATTTCAATTCTTTAGGTGACCCGCCTAATTATTCACAACCATTGATTTGCAGACTCACTCGTTCAAAGTCTGGCTTAATCCCCACAAACCACCCCTTAAGTTACACCAGAACCAGAAAGATCATGCTCGAAGCTTTGGAAACCATTTGTACCTGACGTAACCAAATTTGGTTTGCACAGTTTTGAGATCAGGCGGCGCTTCTGCTGCATATCTGATGCCTTAGTTCCTTCTCATATAATTTCCAGACATAGTAGATAGAGTTATGATAAGGTTAGAACGCCTCCTCAGCTTTGGGCATTTAATGTTCATGCTACTGTTTATCCGTGATAATGTTTAAATAATAGACGTGGTGTAGTTTACCTGATATATCTATTAAATACTGCGAGGTGAGCATGCTCCACCTTCAAGGATAGGGCTTGACTGCAAAAATACCATTCATGTTGACACTTTGAAGAATGACATGGAAAAAAAGAAATCGTTCAAAATATAATATATATATATATACACACACGGGTACATGTACATTTGCTGCAGTGCTCGTGATTTGTTTATTTCATTGATAATTTTCCTCTTTTTATTGTTCAAATTGCTCTTTTCATTGCTGTTTCTCTGTTTATTGTACAAGTGAATTTTTTTCATTGTACAAATTGTTCTTTGCATTGTTCAAATTGCTCTTCTTATTGTTCACATTTCACTTTCTATTGTTCATATTGTTGTTTTATTGCTCTTTTACTCCATTTATAGTTCAAATTGCTTTTTTGGTTTGATACTGCTCTTATTAGTGTTCAATTTACTCTTTGTATTGTTTTGTGCTCTTTTCATTGTTCATATTGCTCTTTTTATTTTTGATATTGCATTTATTTTTTTAAAGTTGCTCTTTTTTAATTCTCCTTTGCTCTTTTTATTAGTCGTGTTGCTCTTTTTGTTGCTCTTTCACTTTTTTATTGTTCAAATTGCTCTTTTCACTGTTCTAAATTCTCTTTTAATCGTGCAAATCGCTCTTTTTATATTTTGTATTGAAATTGTTATCGTTCAAATTGCTCTTTTATTGTTCAGAGTGCTCTCTTTTTGTTCAAGTTGTTTTTTTCTATTTATTTTTTCATCTTTTTATTGTTGAAATTGCTTTTTCGATTGCCCTTTTAATCTTATAGTTGAAAGTGCTCGTTTCATTGATCAAGTCGCCCTTTTGTATTGCTCTTTGTTCTTTGTATGGTTCTTATTGCTTTTCTACGCTTTTTATTATTTAAATTGCTCTTTTCATTGTTCAAATTACTCTTTTTATTGCGCAAATTGCTCTTTTCATTGCTTGCGTTACTCTTTTCATTGTTCAAATTGTTTTTGCATGAGCAATTTGAACAATGAGAGGGGGAATTTAATTTGATAAATAAAAAGAGCAATTTGAAAAATAAAAACGAGTAACGTCAACAATAAAAAGAGCAATTTGAACAAAAATAGCAATATGAACAATAAAAATAGCAATTTGAACAATGGAAAAAGCAACTTGAACTATGAAAAGAGCAATTCGAACAATAAAATGAGTAAAAGAGCAATAAAAAGAACAATTTGAACAATAAAAGAGCAAAATGAGTACATTTTTCAATGGAATAAACAAATCACAAGCAGTGAAACACATGACAAGTACCTGTGTATATTTACTGAACGATTTCTTTTGTTTTGTGTCATTTAAAAGTCATCCTTGCAAGGGTCAACATGAATGGTATTTCTGCAGCTAAGCCCTATTCTTGTCACCAGTGTGACAAATGCTTTAGACGAAGTCTAATC